TATTCATATGGTAATGGCATTTGAATTCTGGACAAAATGTATTTTTACCGGCAATACTACTTTTGATTAGATATAAATACAGGGAACAGTGTATTAGCAAGCACCACCATGTTCTATGATAAGCAAAAGAAGAAAATGACAGAACTGGCTCTTCCTGCAGATGAAAGTGAGTATGAGATAGTTTTAGTGATTATGAGAAGGATGCAGATTGGATATTTGATAAGAGCAGTGATAGAGACAGCTCGGGTAAGTTAGCTATGAGGCAGATAAGACAGGTGTAGTGTAGTATATAGTATAATATATAAAAACAGATAAATAGCTACATCATTCTGATGCTATTAGACTCTATCCAATAAAATATGATAGTAATTTTTATTGGATGTTATTTACAGAAACCTCTAGGTATTTATTGTAGGTTCTCAGACTTTTTGTGGCCCTAAGAGGCCGCTTACCTTGCTCATTGGTTAAATCTGCCCCTGACCGCATACAAACACAGGGAGAACATGCAAACTCCATACAGAAACTGAACTAGAGACCTTCCTGTTGTGAGGCGACATTGCAAACTACTGGGCCACCGTGCTGCCCAAGCCAGAAGTTAATAGCGTGAATAGTTTCTAAAACTCAAGTGTTACCGCTCATAATTAAAAAAATAAAAATAAAAAAATAGGGTGGCACGGTGGCTCAGTGGTTAGCACTGTCGGCTCACAGTAAGAAAATTGTTAGTTCAAGTTCCGGCTGATTCAAAGATCATGATTTGATCAGAAGATGACTCCGGCTCTTAACTTATGTCTGTGAATATGTCATAAGCGACACCCCTCCGCTATCCAACGGCCTGCTATCACCCTTCCACACCTCCCCATTTTCACTTGCATGCATGTATGCCGGATTCGCTACCCTGATCTGTTCCGGGACCTTGCGATTCACAAATTAAGCACTGGGTGTCTCCCATACTGAATTGCAGCTGAAAGGGCATCCCCTGTGTAAAACATATGCCGGAATAGTCGGCAGTCCATTCCGCTGTGGTGCCCTCTGATAATTAAAGGACTAAGCTGAAGGAAAATTAATGAAAAAAATACAAAATATCAACAAGAAGCTGTTTTTGTAATGTATTACATCCTGGTTTAGAATCAACAGACAAATTTACACATCAGACTTAAATTATAAATGGTTTTATCATCGAAAGTTAAATGTATTTTAAAATTATTTAAAAATAAAACCAAAAGCAAAACTCTTTCCTGATTTGCATTTGACAGCTGATGTGTAAATCTTATAGATGAGGTGTGTCAAATGACGCCTGCAGAGTTTTATTCTTTTCATAACTGCATACTTTTAACCACAGATCTGCAACAGTGGCATAGCTGCAGGCATGCTGGCGGTAATTAAATTGTCAAACTCTACATTTTTTTAAATGTGTTTTAAATAATGTTTGTTAGAAAAAATTATAATTTATTAAACATTTATAAACAAATCTGCAACCACTCAGACTTTTAAGTCTGTTCTGTAATGCTAATGCTATTACTGAAAAAAAAAATGATGTCCGCAAAATTTTTGCAAACATTTTAAATGTGTTGAAATTAAACAAAGAAATTAAGTTTAGTAATGTTCAACTTAATTTGCATGTTGAATAAATTGTTTACTGCCACTTAACTTAAAAATTGTAAATCCAAGCAATCATCTTTGAGTCATTTTATTTCACTGTATCCTGCTTAATAAATAAACTGACAACACCTCTGGTGCGCCCAGTTTTTTTCTTTTCTGGTTCCTCTAGTGCTGGGACACTTTAAAAACCTGTGAAACTTCCTGATCACTCAGATTAACTTGAAGAGCAGCTCAGAAGACACTGACAGAGGTAAGAAAATCTCTATTTATTGATAAAAGTAATGGTAAATCTTATTATTTATTGGTAAAGTTTATTCTCACATTAGGCAAGGCAAGTTTGTTTATTTATATAGCACATTACTAACAGTGGCAATTCAAAGTGATTAAACAGGAATTTATGCAATTTACCCCTGTAAAGTGGATTGAAATATTAAAATAAAGTCTTTATTGCAGGGCTACAAATTATAATATAATATCATACAGCCTTTATACAATTTAAAGTGGATTATTCCGCCAATTGTAAACTATATATGATATATATATATATATAAATATGATATATTTATTTTTTATATATATATTTTTTTCATTTAATTATTTAAAAGTTTTTTTACAGTGATGCAAAGCAGAATTTTCAGCACATCTATTGATTTTAAATCTGAGTTTTTTTTGTCAATTGTTTATTTTTATTATCAATGTTTTATTTCTGTGCTTTGACAATCCATGACGCATTTTATAGCATTAAATCATGAATGAAAAAAAAATAATAATAGTAATAATAACATATGTATGTGTGTATATATATATATATATATATATATATATATATATATATATATATATATATATATATATATATATATATATATATATATATATCTCTTTTAGAGGTCGTGTTAGGTTTTCTCATTGTCCGTCATTTTGACGGAGAGGGTTGAAAAAATTCTGTCATAACCTATTATTGACCGTAATTTAATTTGCATATTTTTTTTAATAGTTTTTTAATTTTATTTTAATAATGAACTTGCATGACAAGCATATAGGCGAAATTATTAATTTATTTATTTGACAAACGAACAAAAACTCCTATCTGCCTTAATTCATATCTTCCTCCTGCGTCGACCTGAACTGGGTGCTTGCCTGTGCGTAATCAAACGCATCAAGAGAAACTGATGCAGAGGCAATTATCATTAAATTCTGTGTCTTTGCCTCGGAAAGTCGACTTCTCGTGACAGTTTTAGTTTGTTTCTGGCGGCTGAAGCCGCGTTCTGCTGCCACACTGGAGACCGGAATTACTAAAATCCATTTTAGGGACAAAATTATTAGCCCCTTAAAGCCAATTTTTTGCCTGACTGTCTTCAGAACAAACCATACAACAACACACACTATACAGTCACTTGCCTAATTACCCTAACCTGTCTAGTTAACCTAATTAACCTAGTAAAGCCTTTAAATGTCACTTTAAGCTGTATAGAAGTGTCTTGAAGAATATCTAATCAAATATTATTTACAGTCATCATGGCAAAGATAAAATAAATCAGTTATTAGAGATGAATTATTAAAACTGTTATGTTTAGAAATGTGTTGAAAAAAATCTGCTTTCTGTTAAACAGAAATTTGGGGAAAAAATAAACAGGGGGCGAATAATTCTGACTACAACTGTAAAAAGTTTGGGGTCAGTACGATGTTAAAATGTTTTAAAATCCTGCCCACACTGTAAAATGTATTATTTAGTATCAATTTCCAAAAGAGTTTTTTTTTTTTTCTCAACTTTAGACATATTAGGTCAGTGCAACTGATGTTTTCAAAAGTTGAGTACATGTTGTGCCAATGGTGTAGAGGTTAATGCATCAACACATGGCACTCCAGTGTTCACGGCGACTCAAGTTTGATTCCCACCTCGAGGTCCTATGCTGATCCTTCCCTTCTGTCCTCTCCCCACACTTTCCTGTCTTTGCACTCTACTGTCCTGTTTATTAAAGGAGAAAATAATAATGTTGAGTACATGAGAAAAACCAAAATAAAATAAGGATTATTTATTTATTTATTTATTTTTGCTCACTCAACTTCAGTCATTCCAGTTCTGCAGACAAAAAATAATCAGTTTACCTCTCCAGAAAACAAATAAACTAATAAATAATCATATGTTAACCCAACTAAATGTTTTTTTTTTTTTTTGGTATTACTGACAAATAATTTTAGGTCAGTGTAGCTGATGTTTTCAAAAGTTGAGTGAACAAGAAAAATCAAAAGGAAATAAGGAATATGTTGTTTCTTTTTTATTCGTTGTTGTTGTTGTTGTTGTTGTTGTTGTTGTTGGACTGATTTAAAAAAAAAAAATTACAGAGCACCAAAGGCTGCATTTGATTAATCAAAAGTACTGTACAAATTGTAAAATAGTGAAATGTTATTGTACTATAAAATAAATGTTCAAAAGTAGTTCATAATTTAATTTTATAATTTATTCCAGTGATTTTAAAGATGAATTTTCAGCTTCGTTACTCCAGTCTTCAGAATCACTTGATCCCTCAGAAATCCCTATATTAAAAATTATTATTGTTATTAATATTATTATTAATTACATTATTTATTTATTTATTTATTTATTTATTTTGTTTATTTATTTATTTATTTATTTTTAATTAATATTATTAGTAATAGATGCAATAATGACTGGTGTAATAATTTCATTTGAAACTACATACAATAAGAAAACAGTTATTGATTTTTTATTTTAATGTTTAACAATTTAACATATTTTGTCTACCTTTAATAAATGCTGCCTTGATGAAGAAAATACTACCTTAAAAAAACTGACCCCAAACTTTTGACCGGTAGTTTATACATTTCATAATGCATACATTTGTCACAAGTGCTATATTTTACAACCTGATTTTCGTTAACTTTTATTGAATTGTGAATACTTCAACGAAAACATTTCTAGTGATTTCAGCAAACAAACCAATTTTCTTCTGGAAACACAAACAATTTATGTTTGATACCTGCAACACACACCAATAGTTGGGACTTTAATCATCTAAAAACTGATAATACAAACCTTCAAAATTTCACAAGCTAAATATTTCACTTAATATAAAACTTCAGCTCAACAGTCAGTGGTCATCATTATCCGTGTGATCATCAGAGATTGGCTTGAGACATCTTTAAATGTATTAAAGACTAGAGTAGTGTTGTTTTTAAAAACTGCTATAACGCATAATGCTCTCTGATTACAGAAGGACTTTCATATTCTGGTTTTATCTCTGACTTCATCATGAGGCTGTTACTGCTGCTGTTCGTATCAGTCCTGGTGCTCAGTAAGGTTTTGTTCCAATTTGATTTTGGAGTTAATATGGCAAAGACCATGAAAGTTACTTTTCTGAATTTTGTTTTTCTTCACCTCATAATCTCACAGGCTCCTCATCAATCACAGCCAATGCACAACTCGCATTTGAGACACCTGCAGCGACAACAGCACCTGACACGACAACAACATCTGAGGCGACAACAACACCTGTAGTGACCCAAACATCGGAAGTGATAACAACAACACCTGAGACGACAACAACACTCGAGACGACAACAATACTCGAGACGACAACAACACTTGAGACGACAACAACACCTGAGACAACAATAACAACCGAGATAACAACAACACCTGATACGGCAACAACAACTGAAATGACAACAACACCTGATACAACAACAACAACAACTGAAACGACAACACCTGATACGGCAACAACAACTGAAATGACAACAACACCTGATACAACAACAACAACTGAAACAACAACACCTGATACGGCAACAACAACTGAGACAACAACACCTGATACAGCAACAACTGAGACTACAACAACACCTGATACAGCAACAACTGAGACTACAACAACACCTGATACAGCACCAACTGAGACGACAACAACACCTGATACAGCAACAACTGAGACGACAACAACACCTGATATGGCAACAACAACTGAAATGACAACAACACCTGATACAACCACAACAACTGAAACGACAACACCTGATACGGCAACAACAACTGAGACAACAACACCTGATACAGCAACAACTGAGACGACAACAACACCTGATACAGGAACAACTGAGATGACAACAACACCTGATACGGCAACAACACCTGATACAACAACAACAACAACTGAAACGACAACACCTGATACGGCAACAACAACTGAGACAACAACACCTGATACAGCAACAACTGAGACGACAACAACACCTGATACAGCAACAACTGAGATGACAACAACACCTGATATAGCAACAACAACTGAAATGACAACAACACCTGATACGGCAACAACAACTGAGACAACAACACCTGATACAGCAACAACAACTGAAATGACAACAACACCTGATACGGCAACAACAACTGAGACGGCAACAACAACTGAGATGACAACAACACCTGATACAACAACAACAGCTGAGACTACAACAACACCTGATACAGCAACAACTGAGACGACAACAACACCTGATACAGCAACAACTGAGACAACAACACCTGATACAGCAACAACTGAGACGACAACAACATCTGATACAGCAACAACAACTGAAATGACAACAACACCTGATACGGCAACAACAACTGAGACGGCAACAACAACTGAGATGACAACAACACCTGATACGACAACAACAACTGAAATAACAACAACAGCTGAGACTACAACAACACCTGATACAGCAACAACTGAAACGACAACACCTGATACAGCAACAACTGAAACGACAACAACACCTGATACAGCAACAACAACTGAGACGACAACAACACCTGATACGGCAACAACAACTGAAACAACAACAACACCTGATACAGCAACAACTGAGACGACAACAACACCTGAAACGGCAACAACAAGTGAGTCGACAACAACACCTGATACAGCAATAACAACTGAGATGACAACAACACCTGAAACGGTAACAACAACTGAAACAACAACAACACCTGATACAGCAATTACAACTGAAACGACAACACCTAATACGGCAATAACAACTGAAACGACAACAACACCTGATCCGGCAACAACAACTCAGACGACAACAACACCTGATACAGCAACAACAACTGAGTCGACAACAACACCTGATACAGCAATTACAACTGAAACAACAACAACAACAACAACACCTGATACAGCAATAACAACTGAAACGACAACACCTGATACTGCAATAACAACTGAGATGACAACATCACCTGAAACATTAACATCTGCAGTGACAACAACAACAGCATTTCAATCGATACCAACATTTGCACCAACCACAAGAACTGTGACGACAGCAAGAACTGCAACAACCGCATCAACAACATTTAAAGGTAATTGAAGACCTTTGAATTAAAACCAGATGTGTGGTGTGAATCTAGTAATCATAAACAAGTAGGTCCAAAACATATGACGACTGGCACTCCCTCTATGCCCTCCAGTCTCTGACTTGCAGTAGATATCACAGCAAACCATGACTGTTGGTCAAATGCTCTTCTACAAATAATAAATATCTAATGAGAATGAAAGAAAAAAGTGAATAAGGCAAGGCAAGCTTAATTATATAGCAGATTTTAGACACAATGGCAATTCAAAGTGCTTTACATAAACAAGAATAAAAGAAACAACAAAATGCAATTTTTTAAAAGAATTTAAAATGATCAAAATTGATTAAAATGCGTTAAAACAGGTTATAAAAGAATGAAAAAGTAATAGTGCGATCTGTCAGACTTAGCACAGTGCTCATTCAGTAAAGGCACAGCTAAACAGATGTACTTTCAGTCTTGATTTGAATGTGCCTAATGTTGGAGCACATCTGATCATTTCTGGAAGCTGATTCCAGATTCTGTTAGTAGCTGAAAGCCGATTCACCCTGCTTTGACTGTTAAAGTCTTGTAACTTCTAATATGGTACATGCCGAAACATGCTAATAGGACTTTTAATTTTCCAATAACCTGGGTCAATCGCTTCCGGTGAACTGTTTACCTTTGCAAAAATAGCGCGTTTAAGGTCTGTTTTCTTTAAAAATCAGTGATTTCCACTGGCTGGGCGATATCCGATATAAAGTGGGTCTCAGATTGTACAAGAAGCACTGCATTAAATTACATTTTCCCCCGCCATGTCTTTATAATATGAGCATTCATATTACCCCAGTATATTCAATGGAGCTTCTGGGCTAGCCCACCGATTCTGACGGGCACGTGCGAGTAAATGGTATTTTGTCTCGTTTTACGCTTGAACAACTAAATAAATGCCAAAGTCTGTTTACCTGATTGTATTGTAACTACATTACAACATCGATGCTGTAAAAAAAATCGTTTAAATTGTAAAAAAAATAACAATAACAGGTAACTGGAATTTCATCAGCATGGGAACAGCACTAGCTCTGCATATACCCTGTTGACTTGACCCTAAAGATCTGAGTGATCTGTTGTTTGTGTTCAGTGAGCATATCTTTAATGTATTGAGGTCCTAGACCATTTAGTGATTTATAGACAAGTTATAATACTTCAAAATCTATTCTGAATGTAACTGAGAGCCAGTGTAAAGACCTGAGGATAGGTGTAATGTGCTCTGATGTCCTGGTTCTGGTCAGAATCCTGGCAGCAGCTTTCTGGATGAGCAGCAACTGTCTGACTCTTTCAGGTCAGAGAGGAGGCGATAACAGTAATCCATCCTGCTGCTGATAAAAGCATTGACAAGTTCCTCCCTAGAAACAAAGCATCTAATTCTTGCAATTGTTTTGAGATGATAGTACGCTGATTTACTTACTGCTTTGACATGACTACTGAAGCTCATATCTGACTCCAGAATCATACTACTATTAGGGAATTTAAAACATTTTTATTTTGTACCTAGAGCAAGGATAGGCAAGCTTGATCCTGTGCAGGACACCGGCCCTCCACGACCGAGATTGCCCACCCCTGACCTAGAGTCATTAGATTATCCCACGTACAGTATCAAGATTATATTGACATTCCTCGCAATTTAAAGTTGTCAGTGATGTTTCCAACACAAAATTTTAAAATGACAAGATCACTGGTTCGAGTCTCGGCTGGGCCATTTCTTCGGTGGCCGAGAGAGCTTAACGTGCTGCAATTTAGGAAGACATATTTAATTACAAAAACACCAGCAAATTTAGAAAAGATCTTCATCCCTTTGACAGTGCAAATGCTATAAAAAACACATTGCATTTCTCAAAACGCAAACAATTTACTAAAACGCATGCACTTTCTCACAACACTTGCAAAAACAACGAAACACAACGAACATTTTTCAAGGGGACCCAAAAACGTGACGGAGACGTGACTGTTACTGAAGTTGTGGGTGATCTTTAAAATGTGAGATTTTGTTTTTTTATTTTAACATCCTGATTCTCTTGTTTTTTGTATTTTATTAGCCTAAATAACCATAACCTAAATAGCTGAGTCCGTCATGTTTTAGGGTCCCCATGAAACGTTTCCATTGTGTTCTGTGCTGTTTGAAAGTGCTGTGAGAAAATGTGTGCATTTTGAAAATATATTTAAATTGTGAGGATATGCAGAACGCATGTGCTGTCAAACGGATGAAGATCTTTTCTCAATTTGCGGGTGTTTTTTGTAATTGCTAGTGTTTTGAGAGGGGTCTGGATGCAGACCTGGGTGCAGTGCAATCTGAGCTGCCTCCAATGCTTTTTAATGTGCTCACCTAACCCTACCCATCACATTGATATCACTCGCCCCATTTGAGTGCACTGTGTCTGACATTGCATCGCTGAGTAATGCAATCTCAACTTGCATCATAAAGGCTGCATCCAGATACTATTGTGTGTTTTTGAAATTGCAGCACGTTAAGCTCTCTCGGCCACTGTACATTTCTCTGCAGTTTGCATGTTCTCTCTTTGTTCGTGTGGGTTTCATGTGAACACAGTTATGTTAAATAATAACCTTTTGATTGTCATGTGATAATATGCACCTTTTGTTAAGTTGCTTTGAAACAATAATAATTGTGAAAAACCCTATACGGTAACACTTTACTTTGATGGTCCAATTGAGTATTAGTCTGCTTAATATGTTGATACTGCTCCTTTAAAAGTACATGTCAATTTACACTAACCCTAACCCCAACCTAACAGTCTACTTATAATCTAATGAGAATTAGGCATGTAAATGCAGTGTATTGCATTTACATGCATGTAAATGTAGCTTAAATTCAACAACTGGACCATCAATATAAAGTGGCACCCACCATACAAGTAAACTTGAATTAAATTAATCTGGGTGCTCTGGTTTCCCCCACAGTCCAAAGACTCGTGGTATAGGCTATTTGGAAGAAACAATAATAATAATAATTGGGCAAAAAAGTGTCTCCCACCACTGGGGGTTCACGAGTTAGTGAATAGACCCAAATGCAAAAGACAATGACCTCTGTAAAGTTACTGTGTGCTCTTTACCTTGGTCATTCTTGTTGTAGCTGCTGATGATTTGCTGCACTGTGACCTTTCAGTCGCAATCAACAACAGGCAACAGTCTCTGAGATCGAAATTCTGAGGTGCCCAGCTATCACATTTTATTCTTTATCAAACGTTAAGTTTTTTTGGGACTGAAATGCATAAAAATAATGAGACTTAAACATAAATATTTCCCGCAGAATTTGAATTTTAATTGCTCTGAAGGTAGAATGATTGATGTTTAAGTAAGTTATTGAGAATTTAATGATGTTTGCCTTTGTCTTTTCTAGTACCCACCCCACTGAATGCCACACCAGGTAATTGTGCTGCTATTGATAAATCTATATTCAAGTGAATTAATTGTGTTTGATTGTGTGTTTGTTATGTGTACATTATTTTAGAAAATATATACAGTCAAGCCCAAAATATTTATTTTTTTGTCAAATTCTGACCTGAAGTTTTTGTTCGAATAGGTTATTTAGAAAAAAAAAATTAACAAAACAATTGGGCTTTGTGTATGATTGAAAATGAGAGAGTGTATGGGTGTTTCCCAACATTGGGGGTTCACAACTTAGTGAATAGACCTAAATGCAAAAGACAATGACCTCTGTAAAGTTACTGTGTGCTCTTTACCTTGGTCATTCTTGTTGTAGCTGCTGGTGATTTGCTGCACTGTGACCTTTCAGTCGCAATCAACAACAGGCAACAGTCTCTGAGATAAAAGTTCTGAGGTGCCCAGCTATCACGATTTATTCTTTATCAAACGTTAAGTTTTTTTAGTACTGAAATGCATAAAAATAACGAGACTTAAACATAAATATTTCCCGCCGAATTTGAATTTTAATAGCACTGAAGGTAGAATGAGTGCTGTTTGAGTAAGTTATTGAGAATTTAATGATGTTTGCCTTTGTCTTTTCTAGTACCCACCCCACTGAATGCCACACCAGGTAATTGTGCTGCTATTGATAAATCTACATTCAAGTGAATTAATTGTGTTTGATTGTGTGTTTGTTATGTGTGTTCATTATTTTAGAAAATATATACAGTCAAGCCCAAAATATTTATTTTTTTGTCAAATTCTGACCTGAAGTTTTTGTTCGAATAGATTATTTAGAAAAAAAAAATTAACAAAACAATTGGGCTTTGTGTATGATTGAAAATGAGAGTGTATGGGTGTTTCCCAACATTGTGGGTTCACGACTCAGTGAATAGACCTAAATGCAAAAGACAATGACTTCTGTAAAGTTACTGTGTGCACTTTACCTTGGTCATACTTATTGTGGCTGCTGGTGTTTTGCTGCACCGTGTCCATTCAGTCGCAATCAACAACAGGCAACAGTCTCTGAGATAAAAGTTCTGAGGTGCCCAGCTATCACATTTTATTCTTTATCAAACGTTAAGTTTTTTTTGGGACTGAAATGCATAAAAATAACGAGACTTAAACATAAATATTTACCGCCGAATTTGAATTTTAATAGCTCTGAAGGTAGAATGATTGATGTTTAAGTAAGTTATTGAGAATTTAATGATGTTTGCCTTTGTCTTTTCTAGTACCCACCCCACTGAATGCCACACCAGGTAATTGTGCTGCTATTGATAAATCTATATTCAAGTGAATTAATTGTGTTTGATTGTGTGTTTGTTATGTGTACATTATTTTAGAAAACATATACAGTCAAGCCCAAAATATTTATTTTTTTGTCAAATTCTGACCTGAAGTTTTTGTTCGAATAGGTTATTTAGAAAAAATAAAAAAATAAAATGGGCTTTGTGTATGATTGAAAATGAGAGAGTGTATGGGTGTTTCCCAACATTGGGGGTTCACGACTTAGTGAATAGACCCAAACACAAAAGACAATGACCTCTGTAAAGTTACTGTGTGCTCTTTACCTTGGTCATTCTTAATGTAGGTGATGGTGATTTGCTGCCCCGTCACCATTCAGTCGCAATTAACAACAGCCAACAGTCTCTGAGATAAAAGTTCTAGATGTGCCCAGCTATCACGGTTATTTCTTTATCAAACTTAGGTTTTTTTAGGACTGAAAATCCATAAATTATGAAAGAGGTTTCAGAGTGGAAACTTTTGAAAATGCCACTGCTGTTGAGTCTGTGTTAACACCTGAAAACTAAAGTCTGTAAAAGTGATGACGGCATGCGCATGCGTTTAGGGCAGCAGATCAAGCACCGCAAACACAGTACAAAGCATTATTAGTTCATCACGTATTTTATTCCAGAAAAATGTGATTTTTTTTTTTTTAAGGTGAGTTGTCAACACCCCCAGCTGTTTTAAACTTCTTAATAATTTTCCTCAAAACCACATTCAGTGATTTTTATTAGCAACAAACAAACAACATTTCTTAACAGTTCCCTGTTACAGGAAACGCTGTTTTCTCAGTCTGCGTATTCTGTTTTGTGCAACTCTGATTCTACCTGATGCCATTTGGAATTTTGAATACAATTTCATATGTATATATACTGTATGAGGATGTGCTGATACCTTTCTATGCAAAGGGAGTTTGTATTTAAAGGCTTTTGTATTTATTTATTTTTGTTATGTTTTGTTTTAGGAACCACCACATTTCTTTCAGGTAAAAAAAAAATTGTCAGACTTAAATATATATACATTCATATTTTATTTTTAATAGCACTGAAGGTAGAATGAATAATGTTTAAGTAGGTTAATGAGGTTGTTCAAGTAGGTTAATGAGTATTTAATGATGTTTGCCTTTAGCTTTTCAAGGCCCCACCACAATGAATACCACATCAGGTAATTATGCTGCAATTGATAAATCTATGTTCAAGTGATTTATTTGTATTTTTATGTGTGTTTGTTATATTAGAAACCACAGCTGTTGCACTGGTTATTATTATACTTGAAAAGAAGAAAGAACTAATCTTCTCTCTCTCCATTTTCAATAGAAAATATATACAATCAAGCCCAAAATGATTTATTATTCTGTCAAATCCTGACTTAAAGTTTTTGTTCAAATAGATTATTTAAAAAATAATAACAAAAAGAATTGGGCATAGTGTATGAATGAGAGAGTGTAAAATCAAATTAAAATCTAATCAAATCACTTTTATTGTCACATCATCAGCAGCACGTGTGCTATGATTAATAAAAAGCTTAGGAGCTGGCTCCAGACAGTACAAAGTACAGATAGTGCAAATACAACGACAGGGCAAATACAATGACAGTGCAAATACAGTGACAGTGCAAATACAACGACAGTGCAAATACAGACAGTGCAAATACAACAACAGTGCAAATACAACAACAGTGCAAATACAGACAGTGCAAATACAACGAAAATGTCAAATTGACAGCGAATAGACCCAAACGTAAAAGACAATGACCTCTGTAAAGTTACTGTGTGCTCTTTACATTGGTCATTCTTGTAACTGCTGGTGATTTGCTGCACCGTGACCATTCAGGTGCAATCAACAACAGGCAACAGTCTCTGAAACTAAAATTCTGAGGTGCCCAGCTATCACAATTTTTGTTTTATATTTATGTCTCAGTATTTATGTCCTTTATCAAACTAAGCTTTTTGAGACTTGAAACGCATAAAATAGTGAGACTTAAACCTAAATATTTACCCCTGATTATTTATTTTAATAGCACTGTTATTTTAGAAACCACAGCTGTTGCAGTACTTATGATTAAACTTAAACAGATGAACGAAATTAATCTTCTCCCTCTCCATTTTCAATAGAAAATATATACAGTCAAGCCCAGCATTATTTATTATTCTGGCAAATTCTGACTTAATTTATTTACATTCGAATAAAAACTTTAAGAAATGTAGATTGTTTCTATAATGATGCATGATGTTTCTAGAATGATGTAATTATGTTTTTTTTTTATTTTCTGGAAAAAAGGCAAGATCATTTCTGGTCCAAAAAAATAAATAAAAATCTTGCTTCTTGAATAAAAGTAACTTTAATTCAGAATTTGCTGGGGTATGAATAAATTCGTTGGGCTTTACTATATACAAGTTTTATTGTTTTTTTTTCTTTAAATATAATTTAATGGTTAATTGTATTTGTCAATTTTTCTGCAAAAATTTTGTTTCATACTGTTATGGCTTATTTAATATACAGAGAATTTGAAGATCAGACTTAGAAAAAAATCCACATAGTTTTTACTTATAGGATGGATAATAAAGTTAAGTAAAAAGTTATTTATTTAATCTAGACAATGTGTAAAAATGATTATTCAAACAATCTTTACTCAAACAAAATTCACATGAACCAGCTAGAGGGAGGTTTTCCTATAATCATACTGTATTATAAATATATAAATTATACATTTTTTGTTGTATATATTTTTATATTATATAAATTTAATATTTATAAATTTTATATTATTTATTTAATTATTTAATTATATATATATATATATATATATATATATATATATATATATATATATATATATATATATATATATATATAATGCAAAACAATTAATAAGCTATCTTAAAAATGACTGAAGGTGTGAGAAAATTGTTTGCATATAAGTTATGTAACTGATTTTTTTATTTAATTATTATTTTTATTTATTTTTTGACAGCTATTGCACAAAAGCCTTTCAGAGGTACAGTACTGCAATCATTCCTGTTACTCATTAAAAATCTTCTGATTTAATATTGCCACAATTATGTGATTCAACATTATTTTTAATGTTTGCTTCCCTTTAGTTGTTGGACTGAAAGTGTTATTTAGCACAAATGTGGATCTAACAGATGCAAGCTTCAAACTAATTTTGCAGCAAGTAAGTTGTCTAACACATGCTGTACATACACAAATCACAGTGCCATTAGATTATTTTTTTTTTAAATATTTTTTTCCATCTTTTTCAGGTGAAAAACCAGCTGGTCTATTATGGTCTTGGAAGCAACATAGTTCTGACATCAAGAGACCTGCGAAAGATTGTTATCTAACATATTATTAGAGTCTTTCAGGAAAAGAAAAGTGAAAAACTCTCTTAAACATGATCGTTTAATAGTTTAAATCTTTAAACAGGACATGCAACCCAATGCAAATCACCAATATTTACAATTCAATTCGATGTATAATAAATGTGTACTGAACTGTAAATGTAAATCTCACCTCAGGCTCCTGCAAGCCTCTTATCCTCTCTGTCCCCCTGTGAATAAAAACAGATGATTTTAGGTGTTTAAATAGAATATCGAAATATATCTAAATACATATCTATTTAACAGTTTTGGTGTATTTTTTATGGTTGTATGTACATGGATGCATATAAAAACTATAGCTGGTTTCATTATTTAGAATTTTTTCGATAAGGATATTACTGTTAATATTGTCATCGGTGACCTGTCAGTTATGAACAATAGTAATAAAAGTAGGGCAGCACAGTGGCTCAGTGGTTAGCATTGTCGCCTCACAGCAGGAAGGGTGATAGTTCAAGTACCGGTGGGGTCAGTTAGCATTTCTGTACATAGTTTGTATGTTCTCCTCGCGTTGTCATGTGTTTCCTCCAGGTGTTCCGGTTTCCCCCACAGTGCAAAGATGGGTAAATTAAAATTGTCCATAGTGTATGATTGTGTGAATGAGTGTTTTCCAGTACTGGGTTGCATCTCGAAGGGCATCCACTGTGTCAAACATATGCCGGAATAGTTGGCAGTTTAGGCAAAGCAGTGGCGCAGAAGGTAGTGCTGTCGCCTCACAGCAAGAAGGTTGCTGGGTCGCTGGTTCGAGCCTCGGCTCAGTTGGCATTTATGTGTGGAGTTTGCATGTTCTCCCTGCCTTCGCGGGGGTTTCCTCCTAGTGCTCCGTTTTTCCCCACAGTCCAAAGACATGCAGCACAGGTAAATTGGGTAGGCTAAATTGTTCGTAGTAGGTGAGTGTGTGTGGATGTTTCCCAGGGATGGAAGGACATTCGCTGCATAAAAACTTGATGGATAAGTTGGTGGTTCATTCCGCTGTGGCGACGCCAGATTAAAAAAGGGACTAAGCCGACAAAAAAATTAATGAATTATTAGCCCCTTAAAGCTTTATTTTTATCTACAGAACAATCCATCATTATACATTGTTAGCCTAAATAATCTAGTTAAGCCTTTAAATGTCACTTTAAGCTGTATAGATGTGTCTTAAAATGTCTAGTAAATTGTAAAAGTCCATCTACTGTATTAGCCCAATGACGAAACTAACAGCATGGTCGAAGGTTTATTGCATGTAAGCTATTTTTAGTACTTCTGAAAAGAATTTTATTATTTATTAGAATTTATTTATATTATTTTTTTTTAGCTCCGAATTCAATCTGACTCCAATTTAAATGATCCTGAAATTTAGATTGTATTTTTAGTTGTAAGAACGGATCACATTTATCATTTATGATTTATGATTTTCTGGGGTCTGATATTCTAATTGGTACGTTCATTAGGGAGCAAACACCGCTCAGAGTTTCACGCCCCGGGTTTGCGTGTCTTCTCACGGACAGTATGTTGACACTCTGAAAATAGTCAGAGGATGCAGGATTAACTAATATTCAAATAGGCTGGTTGCATAACGCTCACCTATTCCTAAAAGAATAGATCCTTTAGCCAAGCCCGTGCAACTTGCTACTTTCAGTGACTAAATGATTAAAAGATATACATGTTATCAGCTCAGAACGGCTATGTATAATCAAATGCGCCTATCAATCAAATAACTTAAGCCAGAGCATTAAGGTAGCGCAGACTCCTCGTAATCTACTGGATGCAATGAATTCGGAAAACTCCAGAATTAATCAAAAAGGTTAACATTTATTTTGTCAGGTAAAATTGTATTCTGCCAATTACATAATAAAACCATCAGGAAGCCAATTTAGAGACGAGACTGTAACATTACAACATCCATTACTCAAAGATAAATCAAAGAATTATAGATGCATCCCTGACCAGAGAAGTACATTGCCGCATAAGTCGCAGAGATGCTGCAATGGTGTGTCTTTTTACAAGATCCTTCCGACCCATACCACACCTTTACCTTATATACTCAAGTATAAACAAACAGCCATAAATTCAAGACAAATGAAGTGTCACAGAGACCCCTGCTTACTGAATTTGAGGACTTAACCATCTTTTTAGGAGAGAGCATCTGGCAAAGATCTTATCAAAGTCAAAAAACAAATCAACATATACCAGTGAAATATTACTGTAAAATTAAGACCACTTTATTAATCTCACTTTAAAATGATACCAAACATGAATATAGTGCTGCAAGATACATCATATTAAAACCTTGAACATTTTATGTGAAATGTGCTTTGATCAGAAAGTAACATAAGGGTCAAGAAGGGGGGGCTTGAGGTGAAAGGAGAAGGGTGACTTTCTCGCATTACCCCCTGCTGTGGTGTTGCTCTGTTTTTCCAGTCTGTGTTTGCATTGTCAACAGTGATTTGAATAGAACAGTTGAACAGCTGGTTTCTTCATCACTTCTTAGATTAGGAAAGTCAGTCGAAGTATTGCGTCTTGTCTCATGAAATTCCATAACAGTTCTCAGAGTCTGATATTTTGGAATCTTACGTTATTTGCTGTCATCATGGCAAATATAAAATAAATCAGTTAATGGAGATGAGTTATTAAAACTATTCGGATTAGAAATGTGTTGAAAAAATCTCTTTGTTAAAAAGAAATTGGGGGGGGGATAAACGGGGGTGAATAATTCTGACTTCAACTGTGTTTAAGAATTATTACTGTGTTGTTGTTGTTTTTCAAATGAAACTGTGAAAATAAAATTGTTTAAATGAAACTTTAAGCCGAGTACTAGTATCTTGCAAAATAATTAAGAGTAAAATATTATGTACTCTCATCATAGAAAATACAGGCAAAAGGCAAATACAAGGATGAATTAGTTGTTTTGAAATTAGTTATTAAAACTGTTGTTGAAAAATATGTTGAAGAATGAAAATTAATAGGAGGGTGAATCATTTTATTGTCTGTAGAAAACAATAAACTAATCTAGTAGAACAACAATTTGCAACCCAGGCTCATTCTTAAAATGTAGTCCCGTGGACGTTTCTGGAGACCGCTGTCACCGACTCGGTCCCAGTCATTCCCCTCGCTGGCCAGCAGAGGTCACCATCCCCAGACTTGTAACCATTACATCATCCATTTACACTGATAGCCTGCACACCTGAAGCGCATCCACCTAATCACCCACGCTCACGCTTATAAACAGCACTCTCACACTCACTCATTGGGAAGTCTTGTTCTGCCCCGGCTAACACTATCTGAGCATTTCTCTACACTGCCTACTTTCCCGTTGCTTACCTTGCCTTGTTCTCTGACCTCGTCCTGCCAGCCACCTGCCTTGAACTTTCGCCTGGACTCTGACTTTGATATTCGCCGCCAGCCTCTGACCCATGCCTGAACGTTCTTACTGTGATTACCTGCCGTTGATGCTTCAACGTAATAAGATTGTGTTTGATGCGAGTTCGCACAAGCATTACATCTGTGTGCTTTTGTTTATTAAACTGTTTAATAAATTTACTGCAAATGGATCCCTCTGTGTCAGCCCCTTTGTTACAACCGCAAAATACGTCCCTAAAGGTATGTATGGCTGCATTTTATTTTTTTTAAGCTAACGCTACCGGGCGGTGTGACGCCGTTCCCTTACGCGCTTACAGGCTGACCGCTTACCTCCTTGTGGAGGGCTTTCCCGCCGCAATCAGTTTGTCCAGTCAGCTCATCGTGTGCGTCAGCGGATTTCAGAAGCAGAGAGGAGGAGTTGAACACAGCGACCGGGTTCGAGGCTGGGCGCTTCCAGAAATCAGATAAGACAAAAACAGAATCCAAAAAATAAAGTGAACTAGTTTATAACAAGGTGAGAACGTGGTGATATCCGAAAATGTGGTGAAAAAACCAGACGAGGGCTTTTCTTTTTCAAGACGGCTTTTGTAAATTGTTGCTCGGGATTAGGGAAGCGGGCGGGTGGGTCAATCTGTAAAACTGGTTGGGTTTAGGGAAGCAGGAGGGTGGGTCAGGCGATTGGCCGGTCGCGCAGTCAATCATTCGGTCAGTCAGACAGCGGCCTCTGGTGGGTTGACGCGAGAACAGCACGGGCGCGAACGGTTCTCGCGAGAGACGTTTGAGATACGAAAAAGCGCACACAGCAGCCTCTCGGGGATTCGGGAAAACAAAAACTGCACAAATACGTACCTCCCGGGACGTATTTCGCAGTCTTCAGAAACATCTGCTGGATTACATTTTCAGAATGAGACTGGGTGGACAATTTATCATGATGTAAGAAAATATCTGTATTTGCTGATACAGGTCATCAGTTACACACCACGGCAGCACTGAATATCAAATGCAGATTATTTAGATCAGATTTCAATCAGATACACAGATTTAGATGGATAATCTGGATCAGGTTTACTTGTCGGTAAATCAGCCTCTGTTTCTGTCTCTCATGATTCATCCATACGGAAACGCATCAACAAACTATTCACAAAACCCTCTCAAGCATCTGCAAGGAAGTTTCGTGAACCCTTTGATGAGGAAATGCTGACTATGAGGATATTTCATGTCATCCTCATTCTGTCAATGCTTGGTGCTTTTAGCTCTTCCTTGTTTAAATCTGTGAGTAAAACTATACCCTATTCAGAGTTATAAGAATATCACTGAGTCAGATCTGTTCAGTAAATCCACTGATGCCAATCACAGAAAGGACATTTGGGATATTTTCTATGACATAAATAATATAGTATGATTTAATGAGAGGTAGTGCACTAATTTTATGAGTATTTTCATGAAACTTGCGCTATCATAATCGTATTATTTATTTGAAAATATGTGATGGTCATATCACTCACCAGAAAGAGCAAACAGATACAAATAACATCAAATGAATGCAATTTTCTGTTCATTAATCCAGAAAAAACAAAAAGCGCTCAGGGGTATCTCAAATATTTGGGGTGCTCGATTAATCAAAACAACAACAGAAAATAGTCCAAGGCACTCAAAAAATGTGGGAAATTTAAAAAGCCTTTATTCACATGGCTAAATCTTAAAAACCTACGTGTTTCATCAAGGAACTTCCTTCATTAGGGTAACAGTGATCAAGTGCATCTAGAGTCTCTGGGCCCTATCATACACCCGGCGCAAAGAGCGACGCAATTGTTGTTTGCTAGTTTTAGCTTGGCGCAAGAGACGTTTTGCGCCACGCTGTTTAAATAGCAAATGCATTGGCGCTCATATGTGCGCCCATAGGTATTCTGATCTAAAAAGAGAGGCGTCTTGAGGCACATTGCTGGCGCGTTGCTATTTTGAGAAACTATAATAGATTTTTCAATAGACCAGGACAAAGCTGGTCTATTGTCCAGTTTAGAGCGCATTAGATGTGAGCCTCGCTTAAACACTGCTGAATAAACACAAGATGTAGAGCAATACGCAACTATCTTTACAAATGAAAAAGAATTTAATTATTAAGGATATATATATATATATATATATATATATATATATATATATATATATATATATATATATATATATCCTTAATAATTAAATATATATATATATATATCCTTAATAATTATATATATATATATATATATATATATATATATATATATATAGGATATAAATATAAAGGGTTAAAATATTACAAAACATATTATTTTTTAGCCTAAATAAATATAAAAACCAAACTTTCATGCCTTCATCATCCCGGGGGCTTTTTTAGTTTATTCGTGACAATTAGCTTTTGTATAATGTTATTATTATTAGCAGTATTATTTATTATACCTATATTTATATTTGTTTTATTAAAAACAAGCTTAGATTTGTCCACCTGTCAGGTTTTAGACCATATGGGGCATAGCATGTGTATCTGGATATAACTCAGATTTTTGAACACACTTCGTAATTATTGTTGATTTATTTGTTTGCTGGAATTTAGAAACTGTTTTGAAACAAATCTTTTCACTTAACAAACAAATTTAATTGTTTATAGGTTAATAAATGTCTGTGCGTACAAGAAGTTTCCCTATCGAACGAAAGTAAATAATGAGGAGGCTCATCTCTCATTCTCGCGCTGCAGATGCTCTGTTTAACTGTTTTCTCGCTAGTGAAGCATACAGTTTTTCCACTCACAAAGTCCGTCATGTAAACAGCAAATGCGCCATGGTGCAACGCCACTGACTCTTAAAGGAAATGGCAGATGAGACTCTGATTGGTTTATTCTCAAAACACATCTATAACTCATTAAGAAAATAAATTCAACCCTTTTAGAACATGAGCCACTGCGCAAAGCGGATTTTTCCGTCCTTAAATTAGCAAAAGTGGATACTGACCTGCCCTGAATGTGTTTGCGCCATGAGCTTTGCACTTTGCGCATGGACCGTCAAAATAGAGCACTCTGAGTGCTACAGTCACATGACTCGTTTAAATATCTCAACAAAACTCTAATAAATTGACAAACAAGGTCGACTATCATCATTAATTCGGTATAGATCGAGGGGGATATTTGAGCATACACAGACGTACACTTGTATATATGAAAAAAAAAAAAAAAAAAAAAAAAAAAAATATATATATATATATATATATATATATATATATATATATATATATATATATATATATATATATATATATATATATCCCCTGATCACTGTTACCCTGATGAAGGCAGTTCCTTGCCGAAATCCGTAGGTTTTTTAAGAATGTGCCATGTGAAAATAAGCTTTTAAAATTTTCCACATTTTTCGGGTGCCTTGGACTAATTTCTGTTGCAATTTTCTGTTCTTTTTACTTCTGCAGTACATTTCCTTTTATATTCAACACATATGAAGAGAACTCATTATCTTAAAGAAGACAACACAGTATCCAAATCTGAATATCAAGCTATTTTATCTTATTTGTGTGTCACCAGAGCAGGTCTTTCAAAAACAAATGAATGCAAACAAAGACGATGAACCTGTTCTTCCTCTATTGTTTCATTTGCTAAAATATGGTCATGCAAATAAATACCTGAGCATTCAGAACACTTTTAACTACCTGTAAAACCCCTGAGTAATTGCGGCATGACGGATCAGTGGTTAGCAAGAAAGCATACAATCTGAGGAAAGTTAAGTCATCCTTCACTACTGATCAGCTGTATTGTTGTTAAATAGAGAAAACATTTAGTAGTAACTTTTAATCTAAACCTTGGACTGTATTCATGAAACAAGAGATGATCAAAAAAAAATAAAAATAAAATAAGTTGTAAAGCACCAAAGGCAGCCCATATTAAAGTTAATTTAAATCTAGTCAGGTTACGGTTATCTACTGTATGATTTTTCAATGTAAATTTTTACAAGAGAAAAATCTAGAAAAATTGTGAAGCTCTACTTGATTATTGTTTATTTATTTGTTTATTTTTTTATTAAATTGGCCAAATTGTAACTGAGGAAAGTTGAATGTGCTGGCCAGATTGTTATTTGCCTAATAAATGAACATAAGCAACAATTTTTAATTTTTAAAACATAATGAATCATATTTTTAAAATCATAAATCATGTAATAAATTAGTATTTTATGGTATGTTTTTTTCAAAATCTTTAAGGAAATGTTTTGACATCAAAAAGTTTGGATCTGAAAAGCTATTTAAACAAAAAGTGCTCAAAATGTCATTATAAAGCAGTATTTAAACCTCATAATTAAATATAAAATGAAGTGAATAACTGCAAAAAGGTCAATTTATTAATAAAAAACACCCCCCTTTTCACCAGGCTGGCCACAGCGCTGCTTTAGAATCAACAAAAACTTCTAAGCATTGGATTTAAGTTGTAAATATTATTTCGTAGCACCTAAGTTTAAAAGTATGTTAAAAAATAAAACCAAAAGCATCTTTACTGGCAACCTAATTTCCATAACCATTGTTGTAGTGCTGGTTGGTCAGCAAACTCTTTCCTGATCGGCATTTAACAGATGATTTGGAAATCTTATGTGACATGTTAGATGACGCCTGCAGTGTTTTGTTTGTTCATAACTGCATACTTTTCCTCTGACTACAAATCTGTAACAATGGCACAGGCATGCTGATAGTATTTAGGTTTGCAAAACCTAAAATATTAAAATATAATTTGAGTTATTTTAGTTTAGAAATATATATATATATATATATATATATATATAAATCTGGCACTGCTCAGACTGATTGTTCTGTAATATTAGTGATAATCATAGTCTGTTTAAAATAAACTGACAATAAACAGGTGCATCAAGTTTTTTCTTACAGAGTGCTGAGACGCTTTTAAAACCTACAAAACTTCCTGTTCACCCACATTAGCTTGAAGAGCAGCTCAGAAGACACTGACTGAGGTGAGTAAATCTCTATTTATTGATAAAATTACTGGTTAATACTTACTGTTTGATGGTATATTCTCAAATAATGCAATTTACTCTTTTAAAATAGATTAAAATAGAATAAATTAATACTTTACACTTATAAAATGGATTAAAATGTTAAATAGTGTCTTTATTGCAGGGCTACACACTATAATGCTATAAAACTATTGTTTAGCCTTCTTAAATTTTAAAGGAAATTATTTTTCCATTTAAAAATGTTGTTTTAAAATCTATATATTCTATTTATTTATTTTGAAGATAAATTCCTGCTATGCAAAGCTGAATTTTCATCATTATTCTATGTCTCCTGATCTTTCACAGCTTATTCTGAGTCAAAACATTTATTATTACTAACAATGTTTTTGTTTCTCTATTTTTGACAAACCATAATAAAGGAGGAACCATAACATAGGATTAAGCCATGAATTCTTCTTCTTCTTCTTCTTCTTCTTCTTTATAATAATAATAATAATAATAATAATAATAATAATAATAATATTAATAATAATAATAATAATTTTATATTATTTATATTTATATTATTTTTATATTTTTATAATAATAATAATAATAATAATTATTATTATTATTATTATTATTATTATTATTATTATTATTATTATTAATAATCATAAATAAAATTCATAAAAATATAATGTATACATTTATCTATGTTATTAAATACTTTCCGGTGCACATAAAAAGCATAATAGCAATAGTACATATACTGGTGTAATATATGTTTGTGCGTATACTATACCTCATAATCTACCTCAAGCCCATAGAAGAAAAAATATTTTATATTCAAATAATAATAAATTGATATTGAATATGAGTTCATTAGATTACTTTAGACTCATTAGACTCTAAATACTTTAGATTTATTTGATTTCTAATAAGGGTTTAATTTCGTGCAAGCCCAAATCTGATTACATCTGAGACATTGGTACATTTAAATGCTTTTTAAGCACATCAGAGGTAATTAAATCATTTGCAGGAGGTGAAACAAATATATGTGCAATTTATGTTAAAAGTTGACAACTAAATGATTAGCTCTCCTGTGAGAATTAATTTTTAAATATTTCCCCCTGTAACATATAACAGAACAGTTTTCACATGATTTCCTATTATACTTTATCTTCTAGCCAAATATATATTTTTTAGTTTGGCTGGGAAATAAAAAGTAAAAGCCTTTATTATACTTGCCTGGTTAACCTAGTTAATCTTTGAAATAAGGGATCCTATTGTGCTTTTTTTAATGTGTTATCAGTGTGCAGTGTATGTTTTGAAGTTACAAATCTTAAAGTCCACCACAAAGAGAGATATTTAGTTTGGGGAAAAAACTGATTTTCAAGAACGACATACAACTACAGATGACTTAATGGACTACATGTGTTGTTTTCCATGGCCCAATCTTGCTTGTAAATTGGGATAAATAAATGGTAGTTGCTTACAGCAGGGGTTCTCAAACTTTTTCACTTTAGGGACCACTTCTTCCTTCGATCAATTTTTGAAGATGCACCTCTTTGATATTTTCTCTAAAATGTTTGTATGAAATGCTCATTTAAACCTTTATTTTTTAACAAATAAATACATGGCAAATACAGTAAAACACTCTACATCTGTTGAAATGTGTCAATCTGATGGTGGTTAAGTTGGAGCTACTGTAGATTTTATTGGGATTTTAGATTTTATTTCGCTGGCAGAAACAGTGAAAAGCTTCGCTAGAGAGCTTCTGAAGCTCATTTGCAGGTTTACTTTACATCCTATGGCAGAAACACCATTAAGCCTTGCTAGATCCTCCTGTATAGACGTGCATCCTTTATGTAACACTCACAGGACATTCATTTGCACAACTGTGGATATATTAAATAGTTCACACAAAAATACACAAAGAGAGACCTTCACTTCCACTTCACGCATAGCTTGTGAATAAACAGACTTACAGTTAAAGTCAGAATTATCAGCCCCCCTTTGAATTTTTTTTTCTTTTTTAAATATTTCCCAAATGATGTTTATCAGAGCAAGGGAATATTCACAGCATGTCTGATAATATTGTTATTCTGGACAAAGTCTTATTTGTTTTATTTCGGCTTAAATAAAAGCAGTTTTTGATATTTTTTAAACCATTTTAAGGTCAAAATTATTTGCCCCTTTAAGCAATTTTTTCTGATTGTCTAAAGAACAAACCATCGTTATACAATAACTTACCTAATTACCCTACCCTGCCTAGTTAACCTGATTAACCTAGTTAAGCCTTAAAATGTTACTTTGAGCTGTATAGAAGTGTCTTAAAAATATCTTGTAAAATATTATGTACTGTCATCATGACAAGGATTAATAGAAATTAGAAATGAGTTGAGCTATTATGTTTAGAAATGTGCTGAAAAGGTCTGCCCTCCATCAAACAGAAATTGGAGAAAAAAAAATAAACAGAGAGTCGAATAATTCTGACTTCAACTGTATGTGTGCTAGTTGCAGACGTGATCTTGAGGCTGCTTCATTAAAAAGTAATTAATCAAGGAACAGGGGAAAGTGCATTACTTCGATCATTTTATTATAGCATATTAATAATGGAATCCGAAAAATATAGGCTAGTATAAAATCGGGAGTGAATTTAAGCTGTCACATGGCCCACCGGCAGGATTGCTGAAGCCCACTTGCGGGCCGCAGCCCTCCGGTTGAAAATCCCTGGCTTACAGTGTCCATGTGTGCAAAATAGAGAATACTCTTGACCAATATTCTCAATTCAATTTGATTTTAGATTGAAATATTTGATATTCTGAGTATAAAATATGTTAATAAACACTTTTTTTGTTGTTTAAATATCTTATTAATGCTTACATTAGTAGAGCCATGATGTCTGGTGGGCTACACTGCATTTGAACTGCTGGATTTACAACACGTACACTCATCAGCTACTCACAAAATACATAAAACTGAGTGTTTATTTAACTGAGGAATTAATAAAGGGAATTTTCTAGCTTGCTAAACAGTGTGTGTCTGTTGTGGATAAACAGGGAAGCTTCTCATAAGGAAGCATAGCTATTTTAAGAGTCATGGCACCTGCATACATGTGTATGCTGCCTCCTGGTGCAAATCACTGACAGCACAGCTGATGTAAAATAGGGATCGGTGAGCCGAATATGATCAGGTACAAAATTGTATGAGTGTCATCCTTGAGATTGGCTGGAGGCATCTCTAAATGTATTAAAGACTAGAATGGTGTTGTTTTAAAGATTGCAATAATGCATGATGCTGGAACAATGCTCTCTGATTACAGAAGGACTTTCATGTTCTGGTTTTATCCCTGACTTCATCATGAGGCTGTCTCTGCTGCTGTTTATATCAGTCCTGGCACTCAGTAAGGTTTTGTTCCTGTTTGATTTTGCAGTTAATACAGCAAAGGCAATGAAAATAACATTTCTGAAATTTGTTTTCCTTCATTTAATAATCTCACAGGTACTTCAAAAGCCCAGGTCCAAACAACAACTGGACAAACAGCATTTCTATTGACAACAACACCTGAGACGACAACAACATCTGAGACAGTGACAACTACTGAATCTACAACAACGTCTGCAGCAACGACTACACCTGAGATGACAACAACATCTGTGGTGAACCCAACATCTGCAGTGACAACAGCAACTCCAGAGACAACAACAACATCTGAAGTGACCCCAACATCTGCACTGACAACAACTCCTGAGACAACAACAACAACTGCTGAGACAACAACAACAACATCTGTGGTGACCCCAACATCTGCAGCGACAACAACACCTGAGACTACAACAACTGGTGAGACAACAGCAACATCTGTAGTGACCCCAACATCTGAAACAACAACAACATCTGCAGGCACAACAACAACAACTCCTGAGACAACAACAACATCTGCAGGGATAACAACAACTCCTGAGACAACAACATCTGTAGTGACCCCAACAACTGAAACAACAACAACATCTGCAGGCACAACAACAACAACTCCTGAGACAACAACAACATCTGTAGTGACCCCAACAACTGAAACAACAACAACATCTGCAGGCACAACAACAACAACTCCTGAGACAACAACAACATCTGCAGGGACAACAACAACCCCTGAGACAACAACAACATCTGTAGTGACCCCAACATCTGAGACAACAACAACATCTGCAGGCACAACAACAACAACTCCAGGGACAACAACAACATCTGTAGTGACCCCAACAACTGAAACAACAACAACATCTGCAGGCACAACAACAACAACTACTGAGACAACAACATCCGTAGTGACCCCAACATCTGAAACAACAACAACATCTGCAGGCACAACAACAACAACTCCTGAGACAACAACAACATCTGTAGTGACCCCAACAACTGAAACAACAACAACATCTGCAGGCACAACAACAACAACTCCTGAGACAACAACAACATCTGCAGGGACAACGACAACAACAACATCTGTAGTGACCCCAACATCTGAAACAACAACAACATCTGCAGGCACAACAACAACAACTCCTGAGACAACAACAACATCTGTAGTGACCCCAACAACTGAAACAACAACAACATCTGCAGGCACAACAACAACAACTCCTGAGACAACAACAACATCTGTAGTGACCCCAACAACTGAAACAACAACAACATCTGCAGGCACAACAACAACAACTCCTGAGACAACAACATCTGTAGTGACCCCAACATCTGAGACAACAACAACATCTGCAGGCACAACAACAACAACTACTGAGACAACAACAACATCTGTAGGGACAACAACAACAACTCCTGAGACAACAACAACATCTGTAGTGACCCCAACATCTGCAGGGACAACAACAACAACTCTTGAGACAACAACAACATCTGTAGTGACCCCAACATCTGAGACAACAACAACATCTTCAGGCACAACAACAACTCCTGAGACAACAACAACATCTGTAGTGACCCCAACATCTGCAGGGACAACAACAACATCTGTAGTGACCCCAACATCTGCAGGCACAACAACAACAACTCCTGAGACAACAACAACATCTGTAGTGACCCCAACATCTGCAGGCACAACAACAACAACTCGTGAGACAACAACAACATCTATAGTGACCCCAACATCTGAGACAACAACATCTGTAGTGACCCCAACATCTGCAACAACAACAACCTCTGCATGGACAACAACTCTTGAGACAACAACAACATCTGTAGTGAGCCCTACATTTGCAGTGACAACAACACCCGAGTCAACAACAGCATCTACAGTGACAACAATACCAACATCTGCAGTGACCACAACAACACATGAGACAACGATAATATCTGCAGCAACAACACCTGGAACATCAACATTTACTGTGACAACACCTGAGACGACAACAACAACAACAGCATCTACAGTGACAACAATACCAACATCTGCAGTGACCACAACAACACATGAGACAACAACAGCATCTGCAGTGACAACAATACCTGAGACTACAATGGCAACATCTGAAACAACATCTACCGCGGCATCAACACTAGAGACAACAACAACATCTGCTGTATCAACAGTAACACCTGAGACATCTGCAATGACGACAAGAACATCTGTAATAACAACAACGCCTGAGACAACAGCAACATCTGCAGTGCTAACACCTGATACTGCAACAACACCTGCATTATCACCAACATTTGTGCTGCCATCATCACCTGATACAACGACAACAGCTGCAGCACTGCAACAATCAACACTTGTGGCGTCCACAGCAACACCTACACCAACAACATCAACAACTGCAACACCAACAGCGGCATCTGTACCACCTTCAACAGCAACATCTGCAACACCTACAACATCAACATCTGCAACCCCTACAACAACAGCTGCAACAACAACTAATACAACTGCAACACCTACAACAACAACAACAACAACATCAACAACTGCAACATCTCCAACAACAACACCTGCAACAACATTTGAAACACCTACAACAACAACAACATCTCCAACAACAACACCTGAAACACCTACAACAGCAACATCAACAACTGCAACATCTCCAACAACAACACCTGCATCAACATTTGAAACACCTATAACAACAACAACAACATCAACAACTGCAATATCTCCAACAAGAACACCTGCAACAACATTTGAAACACCTACAACAACATCTCCAACAACAACACCTGAAACACCTACAACAGCAACATCAACAACTGCAACATCTCCAACAACAACACCTGCATCAACATTTGAAACACCTACAACAACAACATCAACAACTGCAATATCTCCAACAACAACACCTGCAACAACATTTGCAACACCAACAACAACAATTGCAACATCTCCAACAACAACAACTGCATCAACATTTGAAACACCTACAACAACAACATCAACAACTGCAATATCTCCAACAACAACACCTGCATCAACATTTGCAACATCTCCAACAACAACACCTGCATCAACATTTGAAACACCTACAACAACAACACCTGAAACACCTACAACAGCAACAACAACAACTGCAACATCTCCAACAACAACACCTGCATCAACATTTGAAACACCTACAACAACAACAACAACAACTGGAATATCTCCAACAACAACACCTGCAACAACATTTGCTACACCTACAACACCAACAACAACAATTGCAACATCTCCAACAACAACACCTGCAACAACATTTGCAACACCTACAACACCAACAACAACAACTGCAACATCTCCAACAACAACACCTGCAACAACATTTGCAACACCTACAACACCAACAACAACAACTGCAACATCTCCAACAACAACACTTGCAACAACATTTGCAACACCTACAACACCAACAACAACAACTGCAACAACTCCAACAACAACACCTGCAACAACATTTGCAACACCTACAACACCACCAACAACAACTGCAACATCTCCAACAACAACAACTGCAACAACATTTGCAACACCTACAACATCAACAACTGCAACACCTACAACAACAACACCTGCAACAACACTGATGGGTAATTATGAGCCATTTGAATTAGATGTGTGCGAATCAAACGGCTACAACGTAAATCAAAATATACCGTCTCAATCGCACTGCCTCTTTTACCTCCTGCCTCTGACTAGCAATAGATATTACAGCAAGTCTTGACTGTAGCTCTAATGCAGTGTTTCTCAACTACAATACTAGAGGACCACCAGCACTGCATGTTTTGGATGTCTCCTTTGTCTGTCACACCCATTAAAGGTCTTTCAGTCTCTGCTTATGAGCTGATGATCTGAATCAGGTGTGTTTAGTTAAGGAGACATGGACAATGTGCAGAGCTGGTGGTCCTCCATCAAGGTGGTTGAGAAACACTGCTCTAATGCAGTCATCCAATCAAGTGGTTCCAAAAATTTGGGTTTCTTCATTCTATTGAACACAAAAGAAGGTTTTTTTGAGGAAAGCCATAGTAGGAAAAACAAATAGTATGGAAAAAAACATTTTTCTAAATATCTTCTTTTATATTAAATAGATACAGTCAAAAGACGTGCTGTATTTGTGAATTGAGTACAGTAACTTGGCTGTAGTGTGTGAATGGGGGAGTGTGTGCATGTGTGCGTTATTCCCAGTGCTGAGTTGCAGCTAAAAGAGCGTCCGCAGGTAAAACATATGATAGAATGTTGTAATTGGCGGTGACTCCCAATAAAACAGAGACTAAGCCAAAACAAGAGAGAGTAAATGAGTGAGTGAGTGAGCATTAAAGAAACTCATAAAGGTTTTGTAATTTTGAGGTAATGATAAGGTCATTACTTTTGTTTTTGAATGTCTAACCCAGGGGTCACCAAACTTGTCACCAGACTTGTGTCCTGCAGATTTTAGCTCCATCTCTAATCAAACACGCCTGAACAAGATAATCAAGGTCTTACTAGGTATACTTGAAACATCCAGACAGGTGTGTTGAGGCAAGTTTGAGCTAAACCCTGCAGGGACACTGGCCGAGATTGGTGACCCCTGATCTAACCCTTTAAAGCAGGGCTGTTCAAACTCGGTCCTGGAGGGCAGGTGTCCTGCATATTTGGCCGTACTAGGTACAGTTGCCTCGAACCGGGCCAAAGCACGCTTGTCCCCCCTCCCGTCTCCCCTGACGGCCCGCGCTCACACTGCTGCTCTCTTCAGTGAGAAGCGCTCTCTATGGCAAGCCTTTTTAGCATCTTTATTTTAGCATAAATCTTTGTTCTGACTCCATAAATATATTTAGAGATATCTCCAAATGAATTTTGACTAGTAACAATTGTAATTAGAGATCTCTAACTGAGTTTTTACTAGTCATAATACATTTGGAGATATCTTTAATTCGTCATATTTAGAGATATTTACAAATATTTTTGAAGATATCTCTAATTAATTTACTAATAGTCGAATTACAGTTGTAGATATCTTGAATTGGATTTTTGACTAGTCAAAATTCATTTGGAGATATATATAATTACAATTGTGACTAGTCAAAACTTATTTAGAGATATCTGCAAATATTTTTCAATGGAAGTCAATGTAGGAATATGACTAGTCAGTCATAATATATTTGCAGATATCTCCAATCTGACTAGACGGATTATAATTATAAAGTCAAAATTTTATTAGAGATATCTCTAAATATATTTATGGATAGTCAGAACAAGGTTTAAATGCTAAAACGGCTTGCCATACGCTCTCACCCAGTAGCACAGTGGAGATTTCTCTAGTTATATCGTTTCAGTCGTTTGTTATGCATTGACATGCAGTCAAATATTTCGCCAAACAGTCCTTAGGGATGCGGTCAGATATTTTACCGGACAGATCCGCCACTTTTGGCGCTCATAAACAATCATAAAGCTCTCGTGCTGCAGGAATGAGGAGGTCTGCTGAAGGCGCGCAGCTGTCATGCAGTGAGGAGTTTGCGTCTTTAATAAACTACGGCAGTTTGCGTTTACTGAACAGTTAGAATGATTAATAAATCCATATGAAACAGCCCCTTAAAAGTCATGTCTCGCTTTTAGTTTCGGGCTTTGGCGCGTTTTGCACTCACACACAAGCGTACCGCACCAAAGCCCAAGTGAACCGTGCTTGAGCCCGATTCAGTGCACTCACACTTCTCAAACGATCCGGGAAACGGGCCTGGGCACGGTACGGATGGCATAGTGTGAGTAGGCCCTTAGTTCCAACCCCAATTAAACACACCTGAGCCAGCTAATCAAGCTCTTTCTATGTATATTCAAAACTTCCAGGGAGGTGTGTTGAAGGAAGTTGGAGCTAAACTGTGCCGGACACTGGCCCTCAAGGACCGAGTTTGAACACTGCTGCTTTAAAGTGATGATTCATCCAAAAATACAAATAACCTCATCATTTACTCTCCCCCATCTGGTTTTAAACCTTTGAGTTTATTTATTTATTTATTTATTTTATCTGTTGAAAACAAAAGAAGATATTTTGTGGAAGGCCGAGTGGGAAAAACAACATGGTTACATAGTAGGAAAAACAAAATGGTTACAGGTTTCCAACATTTTTCAAAACATCTTCTTTTGTGTTAAATAGATGTTCTTCCCGAGTCTGCATTAATTTCCCCCACAGTCATAAGACATGTGAATTGAATAACCTAAATAGGCTGTAGTGTGTGAATGAGAGAGTGCGTGTGTTTCCCAGTGCTGAGTTGCAGCTGAAAAGGCAAACATATATATGGTAAAATATAAAACAGATAGTTGGAAATTTTGAGGTAATGATGAGTTTTTTTTTTTTTTTCATTTTAGGGTAAACTAACCCTTTAAAGTAATAGTTCACCCCACCCCCCACCCCCCACCCCCCAAAAAAACAACTCATAATTTATTCTCCCCATCTGGTTTTTAACCCTTAAGATATTTTTCTGTTGAAAACAAAAGAAGATATTTTAAGGAAAGCCGATAACCTGTAACCATTAACTTCCATAGTAGGAAAACCAAATGGTTACAAAATATCTTCTTTTGTGTTAAATAAATTGTTATCCCCATGTCTGCAATGGTTTCCCCACATTGTAAAGACATGCTGTATTTGTAAATTGAAAAAAAAAAAAATTGGCTGTAGTGTGTGAATGGGAGAGTGTGTGTGTGTTTGGAGAGTTGCGGCTGGAAAGACATCCTGTAAAACCTATGGCAGAATGTTGTAATTGTTGGTTCATTCTGCTGTGGCAACTTCTAATAAAAACCGGACTAGGCCAAAGCAAGAGAAACATATTTATTATTTATTTATTATTTGGCATCCAAAAACTTTTTTTAATAAGAAAAAAAATCTATGAAAGTAAATTAGTGATAGTGTGAAGTACGAATTTAACAGTTCTGACAATCTACGACTTGCCATCAAATGCAGGGATTTTTGCCAAAATTCTTATTTTAAATGTAATTTTAATTATTTAATCAGCTATTTAATTATTTTAACACCCCCAATTGTTTTAAACATTTTAAGAATTTTTCTTATTATCAAAGTGAATTTTGATAGCAACATATAGCTCATTCATTTTTTCATTAATTTTCTTTCAGCTAATTCTCTTATTTATCAGGGGTCGCCACAGCAGAATGAACCGCCAACTTATCCGGCATAAGTTTTACAAAGTGGATGCTTTCCAGCTGGAACCCATAAAGCACCCACACACTCTCACATTCACCCACACACTCATACACTACGGCCAATTAGTTCAATCAGCTATACCGCATGTCTTTGGACTGTGGGGGAAACAAGAGCACCCGAAGCAAAGTCAGTTTAACATGATATAAATTCAATGGACTCATATGGTTAATTTGTTTCAGCTTGAAAATTTAAGGCAACCAGGATTTTTTTACAGTGTAGGTGGTGCTAATAACTTCAAATGTAAAGAAAGTTTGTATTTAAAGATGTTTGTTTTTGTTTTTGTTTCAGAATCCACCGCAATGATTATAGGTAAAAATACTGACACACCTATAAATACATATTAAACCCCAAACATTAATTTAAATAGCTCTGAAGTGCTTTCACGAGGAATTAATGATCTTTTTATTTGTCTTTTTCTAGTACCTACAGCCATGGCAGTCACATCAGGTAATAATGCTGCTAGTGATAAATCTATTTTCAATATTCAAATGAGTTAATCATGTTTGTATGTGTGTTTGTTATTTTCAAAAACCACCACAGTCTGGGATTTTAACAGCAAAAAGACAAGTAAACCTAAAGTTAGTGTGGGATATTTCTATAATTATACTGTATTGATTATTAATATTACAAAATTATAAAATAAAATGTGTGATCAATGAAATGACCATATATATATATATATATATATATATATATATATATATATATATATATATATATATATATATATATATATATATATATATATATATATATATACACAGTTGAAGTCAGAATTATTTGAATTTTTATTTTCTTTTTTAAATATTTCCTAAACTATATTTAACAAAGCAAGAGAATTTCACAGTATGTGTGATAATATTTTTTCTTCTGGAGAAAGTCTTATTTGTTTTATTTCGGCTACAATAAAAGCAGTTTTTAATTTTTTATACACCATTTTAAGGAGCAATATTTTTAGCCCCTTTAAGCAATTTTTTTTCCCGATAGTCTACAGAACAAACCATTGTTATATAATAACTTGCCTAATTACCCTAACCTGCCTAGTTAACCTAATTAACCTAGTTAAGCCTTTAAATGTCACTTTAAGCTGTATAGAAGTGTTTTGAAAAATATCTAGTAAATTATTATTTAGTCATCATGGCAAAGATAAAATAAATCAGTTATTAGAAATGAGTTATTAAAACTATTATGATTAGAAATGCTCTGTGTTAAACAGAAATTGGGGAAATTAATAAACAGGGGGTCTTATAACTCATGGGGGGCTAATAATTCTGATTTCAACTGTGTATATAAACATTTAAATGAATAAATAAATAAATAAATAAATAAATAAATAAATAAATAAATGTTTACAGGATGTTAATTTACCCCTAATGCAAACTAAACTGATTAATAATTTCAATCTTTTTTTTAACAGCTAATTCACAAATGCCTTTGAAGGGTACGGCAAGCATTCCTGTTTCCCATTAGAAATCTTCTGATCTTATATACAATATAATTATGTGATTTAGCAACTAATGTTTAATGTTTGTTTCCCTTTAGTGGTTGGACTTAAAGTGAGATTTACTTCAAATATAGATCTAAACGATGCAAACTTCTTAGCAGTTTTGGAGCAAGTAAGTCAGCAACACGTATTGCTGTTCATACACACCGCAGTGCCATCAGAGAACTCAAGTTTGATCTGTTGTTTCATCTTGTTCCAGGTGAAAAACCAGCTGGTCTCTTATGGTCTTCCAGGCAACACACTGGTGAAATCAAGAGGCCTGCAAAAGACAAATGCTAACTCTCTGACTCCTTGAAGCAATTTAATTTAATGGTTTCAAATTTTAAACCAGACACAATACAAGTGCCTGATTAAAATCTGCAATATTTTACAGTTTGATTGCAAGCTCTTTTCAATTAAATGTGCACTGAAATGTAATTTCACTCTATGATTTAAGGTGTTTAAAGTAGATGTCGAAGTACATCAAAATGTATATATTCAAGTGTTCGCTGTATTGTCTACTATTGTATGTATGTACAGGGATGCATATGAGATCTATGAAGAGTTCTTATAATTTATTGATGAGATTATCTTATTGGTGTCATTACTGCCAGTTATAAGCAATAGCAACACAGACTTTAATCAAAAGTGTTGTGAGTCTAATGGTAGCCAATACACACCAGAAACTATTCAAATTAATTGGTGGCTGTTAATAATTTATAGTTTATAATATTTTGAGTGTTTTTATGATGGAGGCCATTGGAAGTTCTGTGATGGTTTTTAAAACGACCTGCATAAGAGAACGCTCTGTCGCCCTCTGGCGGATTTTTTGTCATTTCTATTTTTTTCTTCTTTTTAATATTATTTGTATTGTTATCATTATTATTATTATTATTATTAGTAGTAGTAGTAGTAGTAGTAGTAGTAGTAGTAGTAGTATTGAACATCTACCAATGTACAACATCGTTGCAACATTAATGCATCATTACATTCAAATAAACAGACTATCTTTTTGTACTTTTCCTGTTTGGTTTTTGTTCAATAGTCTGGTTGATGGCATGGCAATGGTAATATGTTGTTATTTGAAGAGTCATTTGGATCATAGTTTTGCGTTTGCAATGCTTAAACATCAGGTGACTTTTGTGAGTGAATTTTGGGAATCTGAATTTGGCATCTGAGAATGATATGAGAGGATATCAAATCTTGAAATGTCCCATTTAACGGTGAGCTATTGCTTATGCATCAGCTTAAATGCTGAAAATATCGAGATACCGTGCTGAAAATCCACCAAAACGAACTAAAATTGAACCGAATGTTCGTGCTTCCGCGTAATCATGGGGTTACCAGATCTTAAACTGAAAGTATAACAAGGTCTCATTAAAAACGTCAATGCAAACTTACTAATAACTTTTAAAGAGACTATTTAGTGTCAATGTTGAGGCTTATCTGGATGCTGACAAATGAACATTTTGAATAGGGATTAACTGAAAACGCGTTAATGCATTTGGTGCTAGCTGGCACAACCCGTGAATGCTATAAAAGCACAACATAGCTCAGCATTTTCACTGCTTCTGAAAAGTTTTAATATAAAACGTTTTAATATTAGACACATAATCTTATGTGTCTTATGAATAATTTAAAGAAATATTTAAAAGCGTGTATAGCGTATAGTCTATTTTAAATAGTCTATAATAGATCAACTAAAAGTGCAGATGCATGTTCTGCTTTAAAAAAAATCCAAATACAAAAATATATGTATTTTGACACACATTTTAGCATTGCATTGTTCTTACTGCGTCAACAAAATCGTCTGCACGTAAAATGTTTCACATTGTTACGTCTGGAGTTTCTTGCTCTTTTTTTTTTTTTTAGTTTTTTTTTGTTTTTGTTTCCGCCAGACTAACCAACCCTTATAAATGAAGTACTTCCTTCATAGTTGCCATTGTAGGCTATTCACACTTCACAGCCGTTGCCAAAGCAGGCTGAGCGAGACTCTGAGGTATGAAGACTTTTCTGTTTTTTGGGACACGGTTTTATCCCGATCTACTTAAAAAAATGGGAACAATTATTCTGCCACGAGCAGTTAGTAAAACAATAAATTAACCGGAATAATTAAAGGGTCAAATTTATCATGTTATATTTTTTATTAATTTTTTTATTTTTCATAAATAGTACACTGAAAAAAATGTTTCATTATTGCTTGGATTTACTCTTTTTTATGTTAAATGGTTGTAAACAATTTATTTGGGCTGAATTTAAACCAACAAATAAAGTTGAACGTTATTAAATTATTATTAATTTGTTTGTTTAAATTTAACGCGCATGCAGATGTCCTTATTTTGAGTGTATTGGTTATTAATGATAATTTATTTCACATACCATTTTAATCCCCTTTATTATTATTCAATCATAAATTTTCTTTTCAGCTTAGTCTCTTTATTAATAAGGTATTATTTATTTATGTATTTATTTATTTATTTATTTATTTATTTATTTATTTATTTATTTATTTATTTATTAGCACTTGTTTAGCTTTTATGTAAAAGTGAATTGAAGAATGTTAATTGTTTTAATGAGCAGCCTATTCTTTCTCATTACAGAGCAAGGAATTCTTTTTTCACTGCATCAAACTACTTATCTTGAAAATGCATCCAGTTCCAAAACATCTTTTGCTTTTAATAATAATGTCGGTCCTGCCATCAAGTAAGCTTGTGACGTGTTGTGAAATGACCATTTGATACAATTATTATAACCATATGCATTACAGTTTAATAATCTCTTTCTCTCTCTCACTCTATTTTATTCCCCTTTTTGTCTTTCTTCAATAGGCTTGGCACAGGGTAAATATAGATCTATTAATTATATATATATTTTCATTCACAACCTGCTAAACTGAAATTAACTAATAAATGTTGGGATGTTTTTGAAGGCATCACTTTAAATCACTGTTGGGTTTTGATGGATGAATCGATGGAGATGGATTTGTTACAAAAAAATTGTTGCATAAATATTTAAAAATGTTTATGCAACTAAAGGCATTTTTTTAAAACTGGTTATTGTTTGAAATTTAATATGGTTCACTGAGAAAATGGCTTTTTAGGTTCCATTTCCTCTAAAAATGTTAGGAAAACTACAACACCCATCATGCACTGGGCTCAGTTACTATTTAAACAATAATGAAGAAGTACTCTATGATCTGTAGCTCCATTTTTTTTAGTTTGCAGGATAGATTGTGTGCTAAGCTGTAAAAAAAGTAAAAAATAAATTAATGTGTCTGACACCCCCCCCCCCACCCCAATTCAACAGTAAATATATCAACCAGAAAGAAAACTACATTTATCCAATGAGATATTTATGTGTATTTGTGTTCATTTGTTTAGCAATGACCATATGACAAGTGGAACAAGCAATTATGCTGTAATTAATGATAGACTAGGAATAATGAAGATATTAGACTAGCCTACAGCTTAATTGAAAATACTGTACATCAACACAAGTAAAACTTATTAACTATATAAAAATGTTTGCTTTTGTGTTCATTCTTTCAATAGTCACCCCAGCGGCAACAGGTAATAATGCTGTAAATGATTAAAAATTATGTACACAAGTACAATTTTTGATGTATTTACAAGTAAATGATGTATGAAAAGTAAAATAAGTAAAACTGCAATTAATTTAGTGTTTAAATTAAGTGTTTTGTGTGTGTGTGTGTGTGTGTGTGTGTGTGTGTGTGTGTGTTATTTTTTTCAGCGCCCCCCACATTTGCCCCAGGTAATAATACAGCTACTGATGTAAACTGTACACACGTAAGCGCGAGTAAAATTGCTCCTAATTGAGTGTTTAAAATGTTTGCTTTTGTGTCCATTCTTTCAATAGTCACCCCAGCGGCAACAGGTAATAATACTGTAAATTATTAAAAAATATGTACACAAGTACAATTTTTGATGTATTTACAAGTAAATGATGTATGAAAAGTAAAATAAGTAAAACTGCAATTAATTTAGTGTTTAAATTAAGTGTTTTGTGTGTGTGTGTGTGTGTGTGTGTGTGTGTGTGTGTGTGTGTGTGTGTGTGCGTGTGCGTGCGTGCGTGTGTGTGTGTGTGTGTGTGTGTGTGTTATTTTTTTCAGCGGCCCCCACATTTGCACCAGGTAATAATACAGCTATTGATGTAAACTGTACACAGGTAATCGCAACTAAAATTGCTCCTAATTGAGTGTTTAAAATGTTTGCATTTGTGTTCATTCTTTCAGTAACCAACTCATCGCAAACCACCACCATCACACCAGGTAATCACACTGCACATTATGAAAATACACTTGTTTAAAAGGTTTTTTTATTGAGCTTGGGTCACAATTTATTTTGATGGTCTGTTTGTTACATTGCATCTACATGTCAACTAATTCACATTAGGATTAGTTGACATGTACTTGTAAAGTTTCTTGTAGTCAGTTAAGTGTCTGTTGAAGGAGCAGTATTAGCAGATATTAAGCAGATAGTCTACTAATAGGACACACTAGCACTAAGGCCCCGTTTACACTAATGCATTGTAGTTTGAAAACGCATAAGTTTTGCTACGGTTACGCCATCCATCCACACTACGCTGGAGTTTTCGAGTTCCGAAAACGGAGTGTTTTTAAAAAGCTGGAGAGGCTGTTTTCATTCTAAAACACGGCTGCTCCATCTCAGTGTGGATGGGGGAAAACAGAGACATCTGAAAACGGAGGCGGGGCTGCCTACATTTGCTACCTGATTGGGGCTTTTGTGTCATTGCGTATCCTCCCCTTATTCGTCAAGCCCCTATCACATGACTATAACACATGGCTTTAACGCTACCGGAAGACAGCAGACCAGCCTTCACTGTAAACAACAACACGGACACAGAAATGGGAGCGTTTTTTGCACTATTTTTAGGTTCTGTTTAGGTTTCTGTTTTAGGTACCATTGTGCAGTTATTCATTTGTTATGTTTAGTAACAACTCGACCTCGGCGTCTGTCCACATAAATAGCTCTCTTGCTTTCTTTGCCATCGCGTTCATTGTTCAACCGGCGTTTGTTGACTAACAATAACCAAATGCCGAGCGAGACACAAGCTTCCTGTTTATAGTAGAACGTGCATGCCTAGAGTGCGCGAACGGTCATGTGATATACGTTTTTGGTGGTGTAGTGTGGATAGAGATATGTTCAGAAACGCTAGGTGAAACGCTAGTGTGGAGGCAGATCGTTTTTGATCTAAAACGCCGTTTTAAAACTAAAACGCACTAGTGTAAACGGGGTTCTAAGTTATAAGTCAGGACAGTTTCTCGGATTGTTTGAGAAGTGTGAGTGCTCTGAATCGGGTTCAGGTAGGTTCAGTTGGCCGGCCCTGGCCTAGTTGGAAGAGTTGTGCCAGAGCGTGGTTCACTTGGGTTTTGGGGCAGTATACTTGTAGTGTGAATGTAAAGCGCACCTAAGCCCAAAACTGAAAGCGAGACATGACTTTTCATGTGGATTAAATAATCATTCCTACTGTTCAATGAACGCAAACTGTCGTAATTTATTATAGACGGACACCCCTCGACAGCTGCACCTTCAACAAACCTCCTAATTCCTGCAGCATGAGGACTTTATGATCATTTATGAGCGTCAAAAGTGGCTGATCTGTTCAGCAAAATATTTGACTGTGTGTCACCGCATCCCAAACGACTAAACGATATAACTAAAATCTCCACTGTGCTGAGCGAGAGTGCTTCTAACTGAACATTATGAAAATGCATGACGTAAGCGTGCTCATGTGCGAATACAATGTGAGTGCGGGCCGTCGGGGGAGACGGAAGGGGGGACAAACGTGCCCGGTTCAAGGCAACTGTACATAGTGTGAGTACACCCTTAGGTATACTCAAATGGACCGTCAAAATAAAGTGTTACCAATAAGTATCTTGGCCCAATAAGCTACAAGTTCAATAGAAAACACATCAACACAAGGAAAAACTGCATTTAACCAGTGAGCCATTGAGATATTTAATTGTATTTGTGTTCATTTGTTTAGCAATGACCATACCGACAAATGGAACAAGCAATAATAGTGAAATTAATGATAGACGAGAGGAATAATGAAGATATTGGCCTAGCTTCCAGCTTAATTGAAAATACTTTACATCAACACAAGTAAACCTTGTTAACTGTATAAAAATGTTTGCTTTTGTGTTCATTCTTTCAGTAGGACCAGCGCCAACAGGTAATCATACTGTTAATGATTAATAAATATGTACACAAGTAATATTTTTGATGCATTTAAGAGTAAATGATGTATGAAAAGTAAAATAAGTAAAACTTGCAATTAATTTAGTGTTTAAATTAAGTGTTTTTTTTTTTTTTTTTTCAGCGGCCCCCACAACTACACCAGGTAATAATACTGCAAATGATGAAAACTGTACACAGGTAAGCGCAAGTAAAATTGCTCTTAAATAAGTGTTTAAAAATGTTTGCATTTGTGTCCATTCTTTCCGTAGCCAACACATCACAAACCACCCCCATCGCACAAGGTAATCACACTGCACATTATGAAAATACACTTGTTTAGAAGGTTTTTAGTTGAGCTTGGGTCACAATTTATTTTGATGGTCCGTTTGTTACATTGCATCTACATGTCAACTAATTCTCATTAGATTATAAGTAGACCATTAGGTTGGGGTTGGGGTTAGTGTTAGTTAACATGTACTTGTAAAGTTTCTTATAGTCAGTTAAACGTCTGTTGAAGGAGCAGTATCAGCAGATATTAACCAGACAGTCTACTAATAGGACGCACTAGCAAGTTATTCGAACTGTGCCCAGGCCTGTTTCCTGGATCGATTGAGAAGTGTGAGTGCTCTGAATCGGGTTCAAGCCCGGTTCAGTTGGCTGGCCCTGGCGTGGTTGGAAGAGTTTTGCCAGAGCGTGTTTCAATTGGGTTTTGGGGCGGTATGCTTGGAGTGTGAGTGTAAAGTGCACCTGAGCCCAAAACTGAAAGCAAGACGTGACTTTTAAGTGACTGTTTCATGTGGATTAAATAATCATTCCTACTGATTTAATGAACACAAACTGTTGTAATTTAATAACGACGAACACCCCTCGACAGCTGCACCTTCAACAAACCTCCTAATTCCTGCAGCACGAGGACTTTATGATCATTTATGAGTGGCTGATCTGTTTGGCAAAATATTTGACTGTGTGTCACCGCATCCCAAACGACTAAACGATATAACTAAAATCTCCACTGTGCTGAGCGAGAGTGCTTCTTACTGAACATTATGAAAATCCATGACGTAAGCGTGCTCAGGTGTGAATACAATGTGAGTGTGGGCCGTCGAGGGAGACGGAAGGGGGGACAAACGTGTTTCCACCTGGTTCAAGGCAACTGTACATAGTGTGAGTACGCCCTTACTCAAATGAACCATCAAAATAAAGTGTTACCAATAAGTATCTTGGCCCAATAAGCTCCAAGTTTAATAGGAAACACATCAACACAAGGAAAAACTGCATTTAACCAGTGAGCCATTGAGATATTTAATTGTATTTGTGTTATTTTATTATTGTTTTTTAGTAACCACTGCACCCACAACCGCATCAGGTAATACTACTGCAGTTGACTAATAAAAGACTAATAAAAAATTAAATAAACAAATATATTGACCCAACCTGTAGTTTCATTAAAAGACATCAACACTTGTAAAACTGCACTGGTTAGTTGAACTTGTGAAATGTGTAAAGGTGTTTTTGTTGCTCAAACATCCAGCCCGATCTCACGAAAAATTGTAAGTATCTTACGTTTTGCCAGTTTAGTGGCTGATTCGTACAAATTTGTACGAGTTCAGTCATACGAAATTGTACGGTTTTAAAAAAGGAGGCATGGCACCTAACCCCACCCCTAAACCCAACCGTCATTGGGGGATGAGCAAATCATAGTAAATTGTACGAATTAGATCTAACGAATTCATACGAATTAACCACTAAATCAAAAAGTTACGAATTGCCATGAGATTGTGTTGGATACATCAGCTTATAAATCTTTTAATTGAGTGATGATTCAAAAATACATATTTCTAATACATATATTTTTCCATTTCAGTAGAAAATACATAAACACTGCACTTAAAAATGTTTGTATTGGTGTTCATTCTTTCAGTAACCCACATATTACAAGCCACCACCATCACATCAGGTAATTACACTGAACATTATGAAAACTGCCCTTGTTTAGAAGGTATTTAATTGAGCTCGTGTTAATTATTTAAGAAACTACAGAACTGAAAGCCACATAGTAATACTCAAAGAGATTAAAGACTAAATAAGTATCTTGGCCCAAGCTCCAAGTTCAAGAAAACACATTACACAAGGAAAACTGCATTTAACCAGTGAGCCATTGAGATATTGTAGTGGATTTCTTGGTTTTTCTCTTAATAAATCAAACTCAGTCTGGAGGTTATGAATATCAGAAGAATATACTTTATTGTTGACAACAAAGGAGAACTTTCAGGAGACCCCCAGAAGCAAATGTATAACCACCTGTATGCTTAAAACCTTACCTCTTATGATAACTACAAAATAGAATCGAGTCTTTTACTGTGTCTTCGTCAATAGTGGGCGCAGAAGTTTGGCTCGATTTTATTCCAAAGTGCAATTACATGATCTGGTCATTTGTAATAATACTGTGACATATATTTGTCATTAGGTAGTATGGCTGAGGGCTAGGTCATGGAGTTGCACTATGGCCCAAAAGCAAGAATATCAAGACTTAAAGTCTTAAGAGGAGGGATTATTTGAGGTGGATTTTATACTCTTTAAAGTGTGAAGTTAATCTATAGATTCAAATTATATGTGTATAATATGCTTGTAGAATTGCATACCATTAAAAAAATTATAGTGTTATGTAGAGTTAGAAAGGGGAAATGGCCTGAGGAAACAACTAAGGGTCATAAAAAAGGGATGGAAAGAGAGTGGTAAAAAAGCCTGAGGTGTCTCAGGAAACAGATGTCAGAGGTGAAATTTGGGGTCAGGGGTTAAACTAGGAGGGATCTTGTGTAATATATGGAGAACAAAGGAAAACAACGGATGTAAAAGGGTATTTAAGTAAGGCCAGCTTATTAGTGAGACAGAATTTTTCAGACAGAGATGCTACTGGGGGTCCCCTGAAAGTTCTCCTTTGTTGTCGACAATAAAGTATATTCTTCTGATATTCATAACCTCCAGACTGAGTTTGATTTAGTAAAAGAAAAACCAAGAAAACCACTACAATATTTAATTATATTTGTGTTTATTATTTTTTATTATAGGAACCACCACATCGACAACCGGATCAGGTAATAATACTGCAATTGATGAAAGACTAATGAAAAGATGTTGACCCAACCTGTAGTTTCATTAAAATACATCAACACTAGTAACTAGCTAAACTTATGAAATGTTTAATGGTGTTTTTGTTGCTGACACATCAGCTTATAAATCTTAAACTGAGTGATAAATCAAAAATACGTATTTTTTAATATTTTCCCAGCCTCCAATTTCAATAGAAAATACATAAACACAAGTGAAACTGCACTTAAAAATGTTTGTATGTGTGTTAATTCTTTCAGTAACCAACACAACACACACCACCACCGTCACACCAGGTAATTACACTGCAAATTATCAACACTGTACTTGTTTAGGAGGTTTTATTTGAGCTTGTGTTCATTTTTTTTTTTAGTAACGACGGCATCGACAACTGGATCAGGTAATAATTTTGCATGTAATGAAAGACTAATGCATAAGAATAATACAGATATTAGCATAAACTAAAGTTTCATTGAAAATAGATCAACATTCATTGTTAGAGGCAACACATTACAAGTAATGCGAGTTACATAGTAATATTACTTTTATAAGTAATGAGTGAAGTAATGCAGCACTTATTAAAATAAATGAGTGATAATTAAGTTACTTTAAAAAAATGCAATCCGAGTTACTTTTTTAGCCTAATTAATTAGCTTTTTAAAAATAAATTGCTGAATTAAAATTAACCAGCTCAGGCTCATTCTGAAAACGTAGCCCCGTGGACGTTTCTGGAGACCGTGATTTACGTGGCCGGAGGTATGTATGGCGGCATTTAGTTTTTTTCTAGCGAATGATACGGGGCCGTGTGACGCTGATCCTCTTCTTCGCGTTCACCGGCTGACAGCTCACCTCCGTGTGGAGGGCTTTCCCAGTTTGTCCGCTTAGCTCGTAGTGTTACGTCGGCGGAGCGGAGGCTTTGAGGAGGGGGAGCCGGCCCCGGCAACGACCAGGTTCGAGTCCGGGGAAGAACGTTTCCAGAAATCAGGTGAGATGAAAAACAGAATCCAAAAAATAAAAGCGAACGAGTTCGTGACAGCGCGAGAATGTAGTGAAATCCGAAAACACGGTCAAAATCGGACGAGGGCTTTTGCTTTTTTTTTCTGGATGGCTTTTGTAAATCGTCGCTTGGGTTTAGAGAAGGAGGAGGAGAAGGGTGGCTGGGTCGCCCAGTCGATTGTTCAGTCATTCAGTCAGTCGGACAGACGGTCGCTCAACAGCGGCCTCCGGCGGCTTTTCACGTGAGAACAGCGCTGGCGCGAATAGCGAAAACAAAAACTGCATAAATACGTACCTCCCGGGATGTATTTCGCGGTCTCCAGAAACGTCTGCGGGGCTACGTTTCCATAAGGAGCCTGGGTTGAAATTAACATAGTCACTCAATGAGAGAATTTGCTCCCACTGGGAACGGACAGAAATGAAGATGGCTAAGCCTTACACATCTGCAATGAAAGTATTCCTGTTACTTTAAATGCATTAAGGTCAAGGAAAATGCGATTGTTTCAATGGACAGTGATTTTCCTGATTAAGAGTTTATTGTTTAATGCAGAATTTATCTATTTAAAAAAGCTTTAAAAAATATTCAGCCTTAAGGCCTGTGCACACGAGATGCTTTTTGCTTGCGTTTTCCGTCGACGTTTAACATCTCATGACTAAATAGACAGGCTCGGAGCCCAGCCAAAACCAGCTATGTCCAGCTTAAACCAGGCTGGTCAAGCTGGTTTTAGCTGGATTTAGCTGGTCATTTTCCAGTATGAGCAGCTAAGACCAGGCTGGAAATGGCTGGAAACCAGCCTGGAAATTGCTAAAAACCCCTCTAAAACCAGCCTGGTCGACCAGCTAAAACCAGCCAACCAGCCTAGGCTGGTTTAAGCTGGATTTTTGCATGGTTAGTCTTGACAGCATATATTTTTAGGTCATTAGAACTTACTAAACAAAGGTAATCAAGTTCTAACTTAATTTTAATTTAAAGTTATGCAAGCAGTTTCCAGTCAGTTTAACATAATATAAGTTCAATGGAAAGTTAATTTGATTCAGCTTTTAAAAAAAGGGCAGCCAGGATTTTTGTTTACAGGGTAATTACTTTTTGGGCTATAACTCAGTATTGTTATGCACTACCTTCCACAACACTGTTAGCATGTTAGAAAACCTGCATTTGTTGGTTGAGTTTATGAGATGTTTGATGTTGTATTTGTTCACTGTTTATGAAAACACTATGCTGACAAACATCAGCTTATAAAACTGCAATTAAGAAAAGAATAAAAGCATTTTCCCATGATTCAAAACTGCACTTATTACAGTAGGTGTGTTCAGAAATGTTTGTGTTTGTGTCCATTCTTTCAGTGACCACCACATCGCAAACCACCAGAATTACACCAGGTAATAATACTGAAAATAATCAAAGCTGTTCTCATTTAAGAGCGTTTTAGTTCAGCTTGTGTTTGAACTGGCAGCCAAATTAGCTTAAAATACTGCAACTGATAAATGACTAAATACGTACATCTTGACACAAGCTCCTGTTTCAATGGAAATACATGAAAAAAATCTGTATTTCGTTGTTGAGCCAGTGAGGTATTTAATTGTATTTGTGTGTGTGTTTTATTTTATTTTTCTTTAGCAACGACCACAGCCACAACCATATCAGGTAATAATACTGCAATTAATGAAAGACTAATCAATAAAAATATTTTTGTAGTTTTATTAAAATGCATCAACACTAGAAAAATTGCACTTAGTAGTTGTTTATGAGATACTTAATGTTGTTTTTGCTAATTTATGAAACAACAATGCTGATATATCAGGTTATAAAATAATTAAAACGAATTTAAAACATACAGTTGAAGTCAGAATTATTAGCCCGCTTTTTTATTTTTAATTTTTAAATTATTTTTATTTTTTAAAATATTTCCTTAATGAGGTTTAACAGAGCAAAGACATTTTCACAGTGTGTCTGGTAATATTTTATCTTTTGGAGAAAGTCTTATTTGTTTTATTTCGGCTAGAATAAAAGCAGCTTTTAATTTTTTAAACACCATTTTAAGGACAAAATTATTAGCCCTTTAAGCTATTTATTTTTTTGATAATCTACAGAACAAACCATCGTTATACAATAACTTGCCTAATTACCCAAACCTGTAGTAAACCCAATTAACCTAGTTAAGCCTTTAAATGTCACTTTAAGCCATATAGAAGTGTCTTGAAAATATCTAGTCAAATATTATTTACTGCCATCATGGCAAAGATAAAATAAATCAGTTATTAGAGATGAGTTATTAAAACTATAATGTGTAGAAATGTGTTGAAAAAATTGTCTCTCTGTTAAACAGAAATTGGGGAAAAAATTAAACAGGTTGGCGAATAAATCAGGGGGCTTAAAGTTCTGACTTCAACTATATTTCACCCAACTCTCATGATTTCACTAGAGCACACTTTAACACAAAAAACCTGCACTGTTCAGTAAGTGTTAAACATTGTTAAGTGTTAAACAAGTGTTAAAATGTGTGTATCTGTGTTCATTCTTACAGCAATCAACACATTACTGACCACTCCAGGTTTACCAGGTAATTCTGCAATGAGTGACAGAGAAACATGCTGAAGAATTAAAGACTTGCAAATGTGTTTTAAATTTGATACCTCAGGCTTTTGTGGTTTAGCAAGAGACAATGAGGATACAAAACTTTTGTTACAAGGAAGAACTTAACATTGTAAAGATCAACACTCTTGGAATGCTGCTCGACCAGACTTGAAGACCGAAACTAATTGGGGCACAAGATAAGACAACCAGGAAAGAAAGACAAAAAAAAACAAGTTTTGGTCAGCAGATGGAATAACATATTTTTAGTAACACTTTATTTTGATGGTCCATTTGAGTATTAGTAGACTGTCTGTTTAATGATACAGCTACTTTAACAGACATTTAACTGATTATAAGAAACTTTGCAAGTACACGTCAACTTACACTAACCCTAACCTAAGTCTACTTATAATCTAATAAGATTTAGATGACATGTAGATGCAATGTAACTTAAATTCAGCAAACAGACCATCAAAATAAAGTGTGACCAATTTTTTACAACCACCTAGAATTTGATTGTGTAATTCCCTTATGCGTAAAAACAAAAGGTGTTATTGAAGTGTGTTTTGTTTTCTGTGTTTCACTTTAGTTCGAGTTGTTGGACTTAAAGTGAAATTTAGCACAGCTCTAGTCTTGGACACTCCAAACACCAATATGATTTTGCAACAAGTAAGTGATGCATTGTTTATTCGAACTACAGTGCTACTGTATTTGAGTGCTAAAAATAATTTATCCACATATCTTTGTTTCAGGTGAAACAACAGCTGGTCAGTTCCGGTCTCTCGGGCAACATTGGTGTAAAGTTAAGAACCCTGCAAAGGTTATAAATACTAGATAAACCGTGTTGGGGAGGTTACTTTGGAAATGTAATAGATTACCGATTACAAATTAACCTATTTAAAATGTAATAAGGAGTGTACCTTTTCAATTACTTTATACAAGTAACTGATTACATCTGGTTACTTTTTGATGACTTTTAAAGTTCTAATAGATATTTTTAACTAAAACATTCAACCCAGGCTCATTCTGAAAATGTAGTCCAGCGGACGTTTCTGGAGACTGCGAAATACATCCCGGGAGGTACGTATTTTTGCACGAGAGGCCGCTGTGTGCGCTTTTTCGTATCTCGAACGTCTCTCGTGAGTGCCGTTCGCGCCCGCGCTGTTCTCACATCAACCCACCAGAGGCCGCTGTCTGACTGATCAAATGATTGACTGCGCGACAACCCACCCTCTTTCTTCCCTACACCCAACCAGTTTTACAGATTGACCCGCCCACCAGCTCACTTCCCTAAACCCGAGCAACAATTTAAAAAAGCTGTCTTGAAAAAGAAAAGCCCTCGTCTTGTTTTTCACCACATTTTCGGATTTCACCACGTTCTCACCCAGTTATGAACTTGTTCACTTTATTTTTTGGATTCTGCTTTTGTCTTACCTGATTTCTGGAACAGCTCTTCCCCGGATTCGAACCCGGTCGCCGTCATCAACTCCTCGTCTCTGCATCTCAAATCTGCGGACACACACGATGAGCTGACCGGACAAACTGACTGCAGCGGGAAAGCCCTCCACACGGAGGTAAGCGGTCAGCCGGTAAGCGCAAAAGGGAACGGCGTCACACCGCCCCGTAGCGTTCGCTCAAAATGCAGCCATACGTACCGCCCAGGACATATTTCGCGGTCTCCAGAAACATCCACAGGACTACGTTTTCAGAATGAGCCTGGGTTGAAAACATTTTGAAGCAGGTGAAACCTTACAGTAAAATCACTTACATTAAGATTATATTAATTTAATTTTAAAGTACAGCCAACACAAAAACAGACCTTATAATAAGAAAATTTTCACTGTTGTTACAAAATCTTAATTTTAGTTTGCAATTTTAAATCAAAGCAACTTAAATCCAAGTCAATCACATGTTAGTGATCAATAAAACTGTCAATGAAACATATGAGGCAGAATTATTCAGTTCAGTTATTTACTGTAAATAATATGCTGTACCAAACAGAAACAAATTCTGGTATAAATAACAGCAAACACAACAATTCCAATAAAACCAGGTGTTACACATTAAAATACTATAGTCATTTATATTAAAGGGAAATATTTAAGAATGAGCATTATATTGTACATAAATTTACAACTCTTCATTAATACATTACACTACATCATGTAGCATCATTAGTAACTATCATGAACTAATTACATTATTATACTATAGACTAAAGATCTTGAGAGTGTAATTTGTGAAGTAATTGTTCAGTAAATCAGATGTTTTTTTAGCGAATCAGCTGAATCATTTGTGTCTTTATCTTATGATTTGGTTTAAATATTGTGGATATTTTTTCATTTTACTTAATAGTAGTGCTTTTGCGTTATTATTTTGGTCTGGATTGCTTGTTCTTCATAAATCAGTTTGCATTTTGCAGAATAAATAAATGAAATATAAATGTTTTTTTTTTAAAGTTGGCATTGGTCTACCATTTTTGGATAGACTTTTCCTTTAAAGGGATGGTTCACCCAAAAATGAATATCATCATTTATTCACCCTGATGTGATTTTAAACCTTTAAGTTTCTTAATGTTGTTGAACACAAAATAAGATTTTTAAGAATGCTGGTTGCTGGCACCTATTAAATTCAATAAAAGGGGGAAAGTTATTGAAATCAGTTATTGAAAGCTATTGAAATCAATGGGTGCCAGCAACCAGCCATTTGTCAAAGTCTCTTCTTTTATGTTCAACAGGAGAAAGAAACTCCTAATAGGGGTTGAGCTAGTGAATGGTGAGTAAATGATGGCAAGATTTTTGTTTTCATTGTATTCCTTTATTGCTTTATGTCAGGTTACCAGTGTTGACATGCAAAGAGTTTATCTTTTGTGTAAACTATCAGACTGATCTAAATGAATCATGAAAGTGAACCAGTTTTTCTTCTGTTTCTATTTACTGTATCTGCCAACAGCATTGCAAACATGTTCAGTCATTTTAGTCACACCTCCTTTATATTATCATCTTAAATCATATTAAGTTGCATTAAATCATTAAAAATAAACATTAAACAACATTTATTGTAATAAACATTGCTGTATTAATGTAACTGTACTAATAAATGTATACAACACCACTGCTGCTCTTTCTGACCTCACTCAAAAGGTTTTAACTTTATTTATTTATTTATTTTTACCTGAGAACACTATCACTTGTAAAGTTAGAGATAATATCTGTAACCAGAGATGCACAGATGAACTTTTTTTTTTTTTTATTCAAGAATATGTTTCCGCCTCAACTCGAACCTGGTGTTAAGCAAACACCCGAGCAAGTTTCTAAAATCTTTCACTTTATTTTTTATCTTTACTTTTGTATTGAATTGGGCGACGCAGTGGCGCAGTAGGTAGTGCTGTCGCCTCGCAGCATTAAGGTCGCTGGTTCGAGCCTCGGCTGGGACAGCTGGAATTTACGTGTGGAGTTTGCATGTTCCCCTGTGTTTGTGTGGGTTTCCTCTGGGAGCTCCGGTTTCCCCCACAGTCCAAAGACATGCTGCAGGTAAATTGGGTAAGCTAAAATTGTCCGTAGTGTATGAGTCTGAATGAGTGTGTATGGATGTTTCGCATAGATGGGTTTTAGCTGGAAGGGCATCCGCTGCGTAAACATATACTGAATAAGTTGGCGGTTTAATAAAGGGAGTAAGCTGAAAAGAAAATAAATGAATGAATGTATTGAATTGAACTAAACATCATGGTGAGTGTACTGCATGTTAAAAGTTTATGATGGGTAAATGTTAAGACACAATATTCCAATAAAGCAAAAAGCCAATACTGGAATTTAAATCATTGATATGATTTAATAGAACATAGGTTTTTGTTGTTTTTGGTATTAAACTGGAGAATGGTTACAATGCATTTGTTGCTTCGCACACTTTAGAAAAGTGCACAATCTTAGTTGAATTTATTCGACAGTCATCAAAATTACACAATTGGTATCAAAGCCTAAAAGGGGCATCTTCGGAGAGTTATAGCATATTATTTCTGGGGTATTTTGAACTGAAATCTCATACAGGGACACCAGAGACTTATTTTACATTTTGCTTAAAGAGGCATAATAGGTCTCTAGAGGCAAACAAAAATGCAGAGAACATTACAAATTCTGTCCGCTCTCCCTCTCAGCTAATGATTTCACATACAAAATGTATTAACCATGAACAGTCTGCATGACACAAATAAGAACCAAAGTCCCTTAAATGAACCATTCACCTAAAAAAAAAAAAATCACTTACTACTTACTCTCCCTCAAGTGTTTACAAACATTTATGCGTTTCCTTCTTCTGTATCACTGAAGATATTTTGAGAAAAGGTGAAAACCTAAAGAATCTTTATAGGAAATGAAATGGAGGTCAATGGTTACAGGTTTTCAGGTTCCAAATATCGTCTTTTGTGATCAACAGAAAAAAGGGGTATGACTATCCCTTTCAGACCAGTATTTTCCCTCAGCTATATAAACATTTTAAATAAAAAATCATTTCTAGACAAGAAAAAAAAAAAAGACAGCATGCTTGCTTGTCTGGAAAAATGCTTCTTGTTTTTTAAGAATTGTTAGATATGTTGGATTAGAAATATTCAGTCAATAGTGATCAATGATTGACTACTTAACTAGAAGGCTAACAGCTACATTATTCACCATTGAAAACATTTAGCCTTATTGGCTTAAGACTTACCTCCAAATAATTGCTCGTTTATTCATTCATTCATTTTTCTTCGGCTTAGTCCCTTATTTATCAGCCATAGCGAAATATACCTTCAACTATTGCGACATATGTTGTGTGCAGCGGAAACCACAACCCAGTACTGGGAAACACCCAATACACTCTCACATTCACTACAGCCAATTTTAGTTTATCCAATTCACCAATTGCACATGTCTTTGGTTTGGACTGTGGGGGAAACCGGAGCACCCGGAGGACACCCATGCCAACATGGGGAGAACTCGACACAAAGATGCCAACTGACCCATGCCTAGACTCGAACCAGTGATCTTTTTACTGAGAGGCCACAGTGCTAACCACAGAGTGATGGTGCCGATATTACTTGGTTGTTTTGCTGTTTATGTTGCAATCTTGTATTTTCCTATATTTTTATTTTATGTTTATGTAATGTCATAAACATAATTGTTTGTAGAGCAAGTCATTTGACCATTTACTGACCATTATTTATTTGTCTTTGTCATTCCTAGTCCTAGAAAATAGCTTATACAGTACTTTTTAAAAATGAGGTCGTAACAGTGTGCTCTTTTTGACAAATGAAAAGTCAACAGAGTTCAATATAAAAAAAAAATGCATTTTTTGTCATAATGACTCATACAGACAGATATGTTATTATCTTAAAATCTGATAACAGACAAGTAAAACAACAACAAAATAACAATAAATACAGGTATTTAAAAACCATTGAAACTTCCTGCTTACTCACAGTAGTAAGACTGAGGTAAGTGGAAACTTCTTCCCTAATGTATATATCTATATTTTATATTTTAAGTATTGAATGGATTGAAAAAGAATATTTATTTTACTTTCTTAGGATTATAAGTTTAGACACATAAATATTATAGCTACATTTGTATATTTGGTAACACTTTATAAAAACCACACACTATGAATCATCTAAGCATTAACAAATAGAAGATTATTTGTTAAGAATTAACTCTACGTTAATAGATGTTAATAAACAAAATTTCTACTTTCATACTTTGTTACTGATTAATTTTTCATGACTAAATTAAGCATTTGCAATTTTTACAAATCATTTGTATTTAAGATTAGGTTTTTAAGATCATTCAGACTGAGCAAATGAATAATAAACTATTGAAATTAACATTTATATGTTATTATAATTATTCAGGCATACACTAATAGTTAATTTGTATGTTACTAAATGCTTTAGTAACTTAACTTCATCCAGTTTTGTGACCTAATCTAAAGTGAGGACTGTTTATACTTTACAAATCCATTATGAATGACAATTAAAGGCTCAGAATCAAATGAACAGTAATCTTTGCAATCTCATCTAAAAAGTGATAATTCAACAATGTATTATAATACAACATCTTAACGTTATTTAAGAGGTCACACTTAGCTCACGATTTATACATAGCTTGTTTGGTGTGCTGTCCTGGGAGAGAGCCCTAAGCTCAAGGGATCCTCAAGCCCAGGGCTCCCCCCTTTCACAGGGCAAGGGGAGATTGAGCTGAGGCCAAGGCGATGTTCCTGAGAGTTAGACATTAGAAAAAAGATTTAGGCTTATTTGTCCATAATATGGAGCACATTTGGATGGTGGGCGGAAATCAGGGGACCCAGGGAAAACCCACGCGGACACAGGGAGAACATGCAAACTCCACACCTTTGATTGGAGGATCAAGATTAGCTAATGTGGAGCAGCTGGGTCAATCATGAGCACATGCTCCTCTCTAAATTAGTTTTAAATTAAACTTCACTTAGTAATTAGTTGCCTTTTTGTTTTGGGTTTTTACCTTTTGGTTTGATCGGGTAAGCAAATGTTTTCTTCTTTGTTTGATTATATTGTTTTTACTAATTTGTAAATGTGTATGTATGTCCAAGAGATTAATTGAGTACATGGTAGAGCAACCATTTGAAAGTGAGTTACGATTGCTTCAGCGTGCAGTAATGGAAAATCTACTACAGCGTATACGAACTGAGAGACATTTCAGAGTGCATTTTTTACCCGATTGCTTAACCCAAGCTCATTTTGGAAACGTAGCTCCGCGAACGTTTCTGTAGACCGCTATTTATGTGGCCGGAGGTACGTATAGCCGTGTTTAGTTTTTTTTGAGCCAACGCTGCTCCGCTCCTCCTCTTCGCGCTCGCCGGCTGACGGCACGCCTCCGTGTGGAGGGCTTTCCCGTTGTAACCAGTTTGTCCGCTTAGCTCACAGCGTTATGTTGGCGGAGCGGAGACCCGGAGGAGGAGGAGCCGGCCACTGGGACGACCGGGATCGAGTCCGGAGAAGAGCGGTTCCAGAAATCAGGTAAGATGAAAAACAGAATCCAAAAAATAAGGGAGAGAACGAGACAAGATCCGAAAATGCGGTCAAAATCAAAGACAAGGGCTTTTGCTTTTTTTTTTTCTGGACGGCTTTTGCAAACCGTTGCTTGGGTTTAGGGAAGGAGGAGGAGGAGGAAGAGGAGGTCAATAGTTCAGTCGTTCAGCCAGTCAGTCGGATGGACGGTCCCTCCACAGCGGCCTCCGGCGGCTTTTTACGCGAGAACAGCGCGGGCGCGAATGGCTCGTGCTCCCTAGAGGCGTTCAAGACGCGAAAAAGCTCGCACAAGGGCCTCTCGTGGTTTCGCGAAAACAAAAACTGCTCGAATACGTACCTCCTGGGATGTATTTCGCGGAAACATCAGTGGTGCTACGTTTCCACAATGAGCCCGGGTTGCGATTGCTTCTGCGTGCACAAATGTAAAATCTACTTTAGCGTATATGAATTGAGAGACATTTTAGAGTGCATTGAGTTCACAATTGTTTCAGCATGCATAAATGGAAAATCTACTGTGTGAAAAATGTATAATTGAGTTTTATAAGTTCATTAGTGTGTAATGGGTTTGGACTTAAAATAATATGTTTGTGGGAAAATTTGATTAATATGGATTTTTGTATATTCAGAAGTGGTTTACTTGATTTATATTTTTATATTTGGTTAATTTATCACTTGTTGATTGTTTTTCTAAATGATAATTAAAAAGTATTGTGCCAGGGCCTGGACATTTAAGTTTGTTTGGTTTATGAGTTTAACAAAAATGTGTTGAAGTTAAAGCCATTGTTTTTGTTTTCTTCTTTATTAATATATTGATCTGTTTGTTGATTGAATATTTGATTTGGTTTACCTGATAAGCATCTGTTGAAGCTTAATTTTTCATTTAATTGAATTATTTAAGAAACTGTAGTGAGGTTTTTTCAACCCCTTGCGCCCAACACACTTTATTAGCCAAATACTGCTACACTACAGTAATACAGTAATTTTATTTTAGATAAGATTGCACAGATTTATTTTTAATTTGATTCAGTTTCATTTGTGTATCTTTAAATGAACAGAAATGAATAAAGTCAGCTATTTG